TGTGCGGAGTTCGGCAAGACTTGCCAAGCGCGCCTGGATAAGCGTTACTTCCGAAAGTGTAGGCACAATGTCACACGTAAGGCGTCTCAGGGGCTGCGCATGTTCATGCAGCCCTATTTCGGTCCGGGCCCTTAGGGACTGGGGATATTGCTCAGTTGACAACTTCAAGACATGCTTTGCAACTGGAAGCATTCAGTCCGTGGGGTTTTTCGGTGTGAGTTTTTGCGGTTGCCAGCTTTGTGCTTTGAATGCGAGACCAAAGGAAACCCGGCACTTTCGGGTTCCGCCCTTTGCAGCCACACATCAGCGCAAATCAACTGGGTGTATGGAATGTGAGCCGTGGCAAAACCAAGAGGAAGCCAACTGCAATGAATCCCGATAGGACCTTCGTCATGCTTTCTGCTCGTGTTGCCGCAAGCCGACTAGGTGTCCATGCGGAAAAAGAGGCGCTGGTAAATGATTTCAGTAGAACCAAACTGGAGCCAGTGCCATCTATGTTCTATGTGCCCTATATCAATTGGAGCTTGATTCTAGGGTACTGTGATTTCAGAAATCACGTCACCACAGGAGAAGCATGCTGGCACCTTTCTATCATACCTATGCCCATCTATGCCCCCAACCCCAAGACCCTCCCTCCCAAAACCCCCCCCTCCGCGATGTGCCGAGGCCCAGGCTGCGCGTGGCCGTGAAATAGATGATGGCGGCGGCATAGGAGCCAGTGCCCTCACATGGCCTAAGTCGACAGGGCAATTTGCAGCGCCCCCGTCGGTTCTTTTGTGCCACCAACATGCTCGGAGATGGTTAAGGCTTAGGCCTACAGGCTCCTTTCACCGGACCTCGAGAATCCTGGAAAGGTGCCCAATTGGAAATGGCAGGAAAACCAAACTGCTTCAGGGTGATACTATTTTGAGGAACATTCGGATTGACCGTCTGCTCGCTTCGCCACTCCAGCCGATCGCCACTTATGGCTGCTTATCCACATTGAAGGCAAGGACACATACTTGCTGGTGCGATAGGCAGGGAATGAGAAATGGAATCCCCTATAAATTCCTTTGCGGTTTCCTCAAACTCGACCCCTGGGTTCATTCCCACACTGAGCACCAGCAAGAAAAGCACAATGAAAATTGAAGCAAACGGCGAACAAACCAGTCAACTGCTTCAAGGACAATACCTCGCACGAGCTCGAGCAGCAGCGTTTCGCTGCGCTGAAGCAAGTCCCAAATGTTGAGAGGCCTTGATTTGGCTGTGGGTCAAATATAGGTAGCCAAAATGGGTTGCCTTCGCAAATGGAACCAAGGACTACAGCCCGCGGTCCATATCCTGGTCATTAATGTTGACCCATAACCATTTGGCGTATTGACAACCCATGACTAATAAACTCCTGGTTGACTAATGGGGGGTGCGCCATTTAAGATCAAAGGCTAGTTAGGGCTGTTTGTATGCGTCCATATGTGAACCCATGGCCATTTTGGCCCCTTTGGGGAGCTGAGTTCCCATATATAAGTAGAAGTAACGGTCAATTAACCCATGAACTAGGGGTTCGTACCAGGGGGTCACATATTGACGTATTCATTCAGTCTTGGATAAGAGGGGGATTCTTGGCTTTTGAGGAGACCCCAACTAAGCCCTAAATTGCGAAAAGCTCATCAACCGGCTGGCAGCCACCAAGTTCCTTTCTTTGCTTCCTCCCCCTCCAGAACTGCCCAAGGCAGCCGCAGGCCAGTCACCAGATTCACATCGATGCGGCACGGCAACACCGCCGGAGTCTGGATGCGGTGACCGGCGAAAGGGGCAAAGTGTGAGGCAACCCCCAGCGGCTTTCCCCAGCTGAAAGCTACGGAGACTCGGCTCCGGGGGATTCCGGAGATGCCACCCGGGCGCATTTGTTCCATGACTTTGTAACACAGCGAGGCTTTTCAAGTGAAGCCCCCCCCCAAGCTCTCAGCACAGCGGATTGGCCTACAACATAAAGCCGCAGGTTTCGAGTGATTGGCCCAGGCACCTGTGAACATACCCTGCTGGATTGACCTCATTACTCCACCAGTGTCAAAATCACCCCTATACTATATAGGTTCAAGGGAAACACCAGCTGACTTTGATAACCCCCAACTGTCAAGAGAATGACCCCTGTTCAGATTGGGATTGGCCAATGCGAGCCACAGCTCAGGCTTGCAGTAGTTCACCTCCACGACTGCACCGGAACTTCCGCTTCCGCGGCCGGAGAAGCTGCGCAATTTCTGACCCACTCGGGACCTCTGACAAATGAACCTGCCACGGCATGGCTGTGCCATTTCTCGGCTAGAACACATGAAAAAGTAGCCATGCTCATAATGGCGCCCTTTGAGGCAGCAGTAAGAGACATCACCATAGGTTACATAGGTGTGCATGTGATGAGTGTATATAGCTTGTCTAAGAGGGAATCCAAATGGACCAGTCTCATTTTGTGGAGTTCCCTTTGCGGACACCATCTCATGCACTCGAGCGGCCTGCGTGACAGTAGGCATGACCAGCTCCGGCACGATCTCGTAGCCAGACAGCATGCGGGAGGACCTCATCGTACTGGAGACGGTGGACTCTTGCTAGGTCCTCCAGTAGAGAGGTTAGAATAAGGGCACCCAATTTTCTCAGTAGTCTATTTTAGTAGGGGAACCCTCCCCAAAAAACAAGGTAAACGGGCGTAAACGGGCACTACTTGGAGACCTAGCTTGTGGTGCGCTGACTTGAACAAATCCACTGCGGGTCGATATTCATATTTCATCCGCAACAAAATGCGACATGAGTGGGGCAGCGATCCTTTGCCGAAAAGTCTGGTCCAAGGTGGAAGCAAAGAGGCATCGGGCTGCCAACAGCTCATTCCAGTCTTCAGTGTCCGACCCAACGGACCCGAAGGTGGAAGACCAGCCTTCTAGGGGTTCATTCCTTTTCCAGTCTTTTCAACCATCGTTCTCTTTTCAAAAACCAGCTGTTTTTTTGTGGGGTTCTGATGGTTTTCTGGAAAGAAGGATCCCTGGAAAGAATGGGGAAGTGTCCAGTATTAACCAACCTGAGCACTTCGGCCCTCAAACAAATTTTTGGGCCTGGATTCAGACCCCCATGGGTCCAGGGTCCAGGCATCGTATACGACCCCCTTTTCGAGGCTCCCGAAGGTCCCGAGCGAGATCCATTTTAGCACTTCGGTGCTCCCTAACCTCAATCCATCATGGGACACAAGGAAAAACAACACTCTGGCATGACTTCCTGAGTGGATTGGCCAGAAAAAGTCCAAACATGTTCATGGAGTGAGTGGCAGGGTCTTGCAGCTTGATGCGGGCGTCGCTTGTTTTTGCGGGGGACCCCAGCCAAAATGTGTGATCTTCCTTGAAACCACCAAAACTCAGGTGCCCCCCCCCAAAAAAACATAATATAATAGAACAAAGCAAAAAATCGGAGACACCACCAAAACCCCAGCCAACATGATGTTCCTCGTGGGTTCCAGCACCAAACGGGCCATGTTGACCCGCCGGAGCCCCGGGCTTGCGGGTGCTGTTGGCGTCCAGCTGCCGCACCTGGAAGAGGTTCACCGCCGGCGTGCGCGGCGGGTTCCTGGCATCTAGCGAGGCATTCAAACAAAAGGCTCCCCAAACCAGTGTCCCTGTTTCAGGCTTAGAAAACATGCTTTGTGAACATGCTTTGTGACTTCTTGAGGCTTCAAAGCAAAAAATGGGGTCCCCGGCAAACCAGTCTCACTTCTTGAGGCTGAACAAAATATGAGGGGTGTCCAAGACGTTGAAGGCTGAAGGTCCCACCCAATAGCAGTCCAGCCTTGTACTAGCTCCCATAGTTTCCCTAGTTTCTTGTACCTCCCTTGTAGCTGCTCCCCTAGTTTCTGGGCTTTCATCCCTTTGCTCCCCAGAAAGTATTAACAAAGTTGCCACGAGTGCAAAGGGAGGTGGGGTGTGCGCAGCTTGGCATTCTGCCTGCCTCCCTTCACCCCCCCCCCCCATGGGGGCCTGGACATGGGAAAGACATCACCCTTACACGGTCTAAGACGAATTGAGGGGATTCCTAAAACCTCCCTAAGGAATCCTGCGAACCCTAAGGAACTTTAAGAAACTGGGGCTCTCAACTACCTACCCCTTGTACCTACCCCTGATTGAAATTCCATAAGTTTTAGATTTGGATTTGAACGGGTCCCCTGCTTCTTGAGTTTAAATGGAAACCACCCCAATTTTTCCAAGCCAAACCAAACCATCAATTCGCTGCAAGCTGACGATGGGGGTCTGGGCACGGGAAAAAGGCGGTCATCGAAGGGAGGACCTGCGCTAAAGGCTCAATCGCGGCGGCCAGGCTGCACTTGCACCATGAAGCGGACGGCACTCATCGCTGGGATGGACCTGGAATGTGCTCCCATCCTCCCAATCATGGAGGCGTAAAGGGTTCATGGCCAGCCAGTTTTCAATTTTGCCATCCTCTGTTTCCATGAGCTTCCTGGGAGTGAATAGGTCAGGGTTCATAGCCGTGAATTTTTAGTTGCGCCCTCCTCTCAGTTTTCATGTTCGACGCGTTCTTGGTCTAAGGCCACTGACATTTACCTGCTAAACCGGCCCCATGTTTTGTTGCCTTGCTGTGTCCGCCCGAGAGAGCCCCGAGCCCTCAGCGCAAACCTCCCAAGGTCGGTCGCGAACCTAAGGCAGGGGCTCATCCATCAAATGCCAGCTGATGGTATTCGCACCTCAGCCCCAAAGAGTTTCGTCCAATTCATGATTGACAATAAACTCCTATGTCCTCCAGTAGAGAGGTTAGAATAAGGTTACCATTTTTTCTGTAGCTTGTTTCTTTCCCAAAACAAGCTGGTACAAGGTCCACGACGCAATAAATAAGCAAAACGCCACGGAAAAAACCAACCACTGAGGCAAGGCCCACCCCCCAGTGGGAAAATGCCAGTGGAATGTTGACAGCGCTGAATGTGCAGTCGACCCATCTGTCGACCCTTTCTCCCGGAAGGCCGGCGATCAGCTCGCTCAGATTTTCAGCTCGAGCCGTGCTCCGGGGTCGCCACTGCAGCTGGGCACGGTCTTGGTCATGGCACCGTCCAAGAACACATACTGCGGGCACCGGCCTTGGCCACTGGGCTCCACCAAAAAGAGGGCGCAAAAATCTTCAAATGGAGGGAACCACAAGGTGTTCCTTTGGCTCGAGTTAGAGGCTGATCGTACTTGTGCTCGAGAGATAGGCATGTGATTGTACATTGGATGGTAGCGCAGGCCTCGTGACGTGCGAGCAACACACATGAGAGCAAGCCACCGTCCAAACCCAACTTCCGACGCACTGGAGCACAGGTGTTTTAGCCCGCTTGGTCATGGTCGAACAGTTTTTGCCGCTGCGATTCGTCATGGGTGTCCTGATGGATGCCCTTTGAAGGCCCTAAAGCTGTCCCTTTCCCCCCTTGCAACGGCCAACACGTCAAGCAACCTCTCCACCAATGCCATTGTGCGGCTCGCGCCAAAAATCTTGAGAGGCCCAGCAACACCATGAAGGCGTGTCCGAAAGTAAAGCAACCCACAGACGGGTGGCTTCCTTTTGTTTCCCTTTTAAGGCACCCTCAACAGGGGTCCCCTCAAAAACAGGGTCCCCCCCACCCACCAAAACCTCCACATGACCCCCGAGGCTGCTGCGATCCCCGGGGTCGCTGAAGAGGTACGACACCGGCGCCACGATCTGAATGGTATCGCCGATGGCCTCGATTGAGTCGACATCTCCGACCCCAGAAGCCTTTACTTGCTGCTGCGATAGCTAGGGAATGAATGAATTCCCGGGTGTTGGGAATGAACCCAGAGATTCCCTCAAAGGAAACCACAAGGGATTGTTTATCCAACCCAGACAACACTACGGGGGGAGCGCCTGGCTAGTTTCGACACAGTTCAAACTCGACACTTGGCCGTGCAGAAGACTACAAGGCCACAGGGAAAACAAACGGTTTGTCATAATATAAATAAACGAATTGAGTGGTCCTGCAGCATTTTACCAGGTACATTGGAAATTGAGTTTTTCCTGCCGCATTTTGTGGCTCGAAGATCAGCGCAGCGACTCTTGGGGTGTCACCACGGTGTCTGGGAAGGACATGTTGAAGTCCAGCCTGACACATTGGCGCCAAAGCGGAAACAAATCGGGAGAGAGCAAAAGAGAAACCCCTTTTGGTTTGTAAGAGGAACATGAAAGGAACAACCACGAATTTGGGGAGATCCACTTCCAACAGCCACACCCACATGCATATGCTTCAAGTAAGACACACACATCAACTTCTTCGCGAATTGGCTGGTGTTCACAGGATGCCATACTCTCAGGCCAGCGGCTTTACGCCATCCCTGCCCCGCAAGGTCCTTTCTAGGGAAAGGACTAGCATCAAATCCGGCAGGCTGCGACCCCAATTTATAGAAGCGAAGGAGTAGTGGCAACAGTTGCTGCTGCAGTTGCATGTTGCATGCCCAACTTTCAAAAGTCGGGAATGGGCAACTTGCCAATGTCATCAAAAACAACTAGCTATCAAGGAAGGAAAGAAGCCGCTGCGGCAGAACCCACGGGGAAAACCAACAAGGATTGGCCAAGAAGGCAGAACAAAGAACAGAGATCAAAACCAAAATACTTCGACAGTGCAAGGAAGAGACTGGTCTCCTGAGGCAAGCTTCCAGAAACCATGGGCTTGCCGATGAAAAAGAAACCAATGCGCGGGTCGGTGAGTCGCTTTGGCACTGCACGTCGCTCATAGAACTTCAACACGTCATGCACCAACCCAATGAATCTGGGCAATCAGACTGTCCCCAAGTCTCACTTGCGCAAAGCCTCCAAGGATAGACGCTTCACCTTTTGGCTTCTCTACCAAAAATTGACCAAGCCAAGGAAACCAAAAGGGTCAAAGGTCGATTCGCTTTGAGCAAGTGAGAGGCATGTTTGCTTGTGGATACGCTCGAGCCCAGGTCTCAGCGCGAAGCGGAAAGGCTGGACACCGCCCGCCAGTTCAAACGAATGCCGAGCATTGCATAGCCTACTTTTGGTATGGTAGCAAAAAACATGGTTTTTTGCAGACCCCCAGTAAAAATGGACAGAACCAAAAAACTAAAAAACATGCCAAGAACAGTGAAGTATTGCATAGCCTCAACTTCGCTGGGTCATCAGCGTTCCCTCAGAAGACTGCTTGTAGTCGTTGTCTAAATTTCTAAATTCGCCTTGCACTCCTATCAAGCTGACGACCCTTCATCCGAAGTTATCTGAAGTTCCTGCTGGTGAACAATCCCCAATCAGAACCCTGACAACCCCTCCCTTTCGGCACCTTTCGTCGCCCTTTTTCGACTGGGGGATGTAATCTTTGGCCCCAAAAACCGGCCATCCCAGCGCACCAAACGCCAGCGGCCATCCCACGTTTTTCCGCCTCTGCTTCACCAGGGCGTTCGTGGACTCGGGCTTCAGGTAGGCAAAGGACTGGCGAACCGACAAACCACCGGAGAAGCGCACGCGCCGAGTTTTTTCCTCCTCAAAATGCGGCCCGTGGCGCCAAGGGAAAGCCACCCCAAATTCACCTGGTTCTCCTTCAACTGCCCAACCCCTCTGGTATGCGCTCGCAAACAAAAGGACTTGCTATGTTGTTGTTTGCAGCCTCCAAACCTAAAATTGAATGCCGGAGTCGCAAACAAAATCTGGTAAAGGGGTCTACCCAAAATGCTTCCACACGGCCGGAACTGTCCCTAACCTTCTTTAAACAAATATTGTGTTGATGGTGGAGCAAAAAAATGAGGCTTGTGTAGGGATTTGTTCCATTGCACAGGGTCCACGCCAAGTGGTCCGGTTCATGTGGAAGCTACGCGCAGTGGATCCAAGAATCGATACAAGAGGCGAGAAACAAGCTCCCCCGTTCTACCTGGAGGCAATTCCTGCAGAGTCCTTATGGTTGTTTGTACTTCTTACAAGAGGTTGATTGCTAGTTCCAAGCAGCTAGGCGATCATGAAACCAGGACTAGACTCTCGCTCAAGAAAAGAACCGAGGATGGGATCGTTTGTTGGCCTACATCGCCGGTGAATAGAGAACGCCTGAACAGCCGTGTTGACGATGAACCCCGGGATGTAGATCTCATCGATGATGTTGTTCACCGTCCTTGCAGGTCTCACATGAGTCACAATCAAGACCTGGTACTAGAGTGCCCTACCCAAAGTTTCAGCAATCACCAGGGTGGACGCACCTATTTATGGCTACTGCCCCCTTCCCACCTTTCATCTAGCCGGGTGTTCATTGCTCACATGAGAAGGCTTCCAAAACTGGAAAGCCTGGTTTGGACAAGGAAACCTCAAACTGGAAATCCGTTCCCTCGCAAAGGTCCCTCTGGCTTTGACACTCTGTCTCGTTCCGAGCTGACGGCAGGTCTTGGTAGGACTGGATGTGCCACGCTTCCGGGACCGCTGACGTGGTCTGCGGGTTGATGACCTCGGTGAGCGCGGCCAAGAAGCCGCGCGAAAAGGGTCGAACGTCAAAAAGCCGGTGGCCTTCAAACCTCAGCCGATTCAAGGCTTCCGCGGAGGCAACTTGACATTCACAGGGTTGGGTTGCAGGAAAAAATATGCAGGGAAAGCAGCTTATTTAGGGTGGTTTGGGCTACTTCCTGTAGATGTTCCTGCAACCAAACTCTTTGAAATATGGAGCCCCGCAACAAAATCGATCCGATACCCCTTTAAGGAGGCTCCGGACATGGCTGAAGTGGCCTGGTTTTAGGTTCTGGGGAGCAATGGCCATAGCCCAAACTCGAGTTCTGAGCCGCTTCCGCGCCTTCAAGGTGAGCACGTAGAGGGTCTGGGCTCGCATGTACTTGAGATTCTGGGTCAGAAGCAACCTGGCTCCCCCCCAGAGGCGGTTGTTGGAATCGCGGAGAGGCGCCCTGCAAAGTTCAATCCATCACGCTGAAATGGTGCGCATCTGTATCTGAAACCTTGGCCCAATGAATCGCAGCCATCGAAATTGTGGAAAGGAACACGTCCGTGTGGCAAAACGTCAAACTGGGCCCTGGGTCTTTCACTTGCCCAGCCTTGAAAACCGGCTCAAAAGTTAGCGGGAGGGGGGGGGAAATGCGGGACCCCTTCTATGTTGAAAAGGAAGCAAGGAAACTATCCAAAAATGGTCCAATTGTAGGTGTCCTGTTTAATTCCTTTCAGCGAATTGCCCTCAAAGAATCCGGTTTGTTTCCTGTTTACACCGGCAAAAATGCACCCAAAAACAATGAATCGGACCCCCACAATGGTGGGGTCCTTTTCGTTTCCCTTGAAGCCAACATGTAATCGAGGGTTCCCTCAGAAAATAATCATGTCACACACAACCACCTTGTTCAACCACTAATCCCCTCAAACAACAATTTCTCTGCCATCTGGCTGTGGTTGTCAAAAATTTAGGGTGACCCCAAAATGGGTTGCCCGATCGGTAAATGAAAGGATTAAAACCTGCCGTCCAATTCCCGTTGGTGACGAATTTTGACCCCTACGCATTTGGCTCATTTTTTTTTTGGGGGGGGGTCCCAGTTAAGATGAAAGGCTGATCCTATTTTATGCCTGAGTCGTCGTAGACGGCCCTGTGTAAAATGCTCATTTTGCAACTTCTTCCGGGGAGGGGGGGTTGGGGAGGGTGTTACCATTCGGACCATATGCAGTTCCACGCACAAACACACAGCCCTGTGCACACAGGTGGAGACCGCACCGCGGCCCTAAGGCGCGCGCGTGCGCATAAAAACACACACACAAACACACAAACACACAAACACACAAACACACAAACACACAAACACACAAACACACAAACACACAAACACACAAACACACAAACACACAAACACACAAACACACAAACACACAAACACACAAACACACAAACACACAAACACACAAACACACAAACACACAAACACACAAACACACAAACACACAAACACACAGACACACAGACACACAGACACACAGACACACAGACACACAGACACACAGACACACAGACACACAGACACACAGACACACAGACACACAGACACACAGACACAGACACACAGACACACAGACACACAGACACACAGACACACAGACACACAGACACACAGACACACAGACACACAGACACACAGACACACAGACACACAGACACACAGACACACAGACACACAGACACACAGACACACAGACACACAGACACACAGACACACAGACACACAGACACACAGACACACAGACACAGAGACACAGAGACACAGAGACACAGAGACACAGAGACACAGACACACAGACACACAGACACACACACACACACACACACACACACACACACACCAGTATACACGCACGCACTGACTACTCAGTTTGCATGCTGGGGACCCTTGCAGTCTATGTTTCATTCGCTGCGATTGCCACTCTCGAACATTAGCCAGTTCCATGGCATCACCGTCTACCCCTCCATGTAAGCGGCGAACCACTGCATTTGGGAGTATGGACTGCTGTGTGGACTGCTGTTGGATTGCTGTGCAGCGACTTGAGCCCGTGATCTGTTTGGCTGCTGGTTCCACAATAAACAAATCTAGTCGTCGGTTTGTTTTTCGGGCCTCTGCTTTGCAACGCTCTTTCCCAGTGGGGCATCGACTTTGAGTCACTTATATGCAGGGACTACCAATGAATCCTGGCTTTGCGATGAAACTGGAGTTTGGCGCGCGCGTGGTTTTGCTGTGACGGTTGCCGCGTTTTAACGACCAGATCGAGCGGGGTCACAAACACTGACTTAGCCTGGTTTATGAGGGAGTGTATTGGCTAATTAACCGTTAGTTATGGCTCATATATTGGAAACTCAGCCCCTGAAAGTGTCCCAACGTGGCCATCTGGGGCTGCTCATGCCCAGCCCAGAAGCCACGCCTGCCGCGGCTGGACGGGGTCTGGTCTCCCTGGCAGGTGAGGTCGCTGGGCCTCGCCGGTTGCGACACCGGCGACAACCGAAAACCGCCAGCTGGCGCAAGGTGAGGAGGGTACCCGTTTGGAGGTTGGTCGAAAAAGGCCACCAAAGGGACACCAAAACCAAAAGGAAACCAAAGTGAAAAAGAGACACCAAAGGGAAAAAGGGGGAACTAGAGGAAAACCAAGCGGAAACCAAAGGATAAATTCGGAAACCAAAGGGACTCCTCTCTTCAAATCAAGCCCCAACACTCCGAAGTTAGCCTCTCCAGGTTAGAATAAGGGTACCCTTTTTTCCGTAGTCTATTTTAGTAGGGAACCCTCCCCCCAAAAAAGGGGGTAAAAGGGCACCTAGCTGGGAAACCTAGCGTCGGCCGAGGGGCAGGAACTCCGCCCACTGCAGGACTTGGGCCCTTGGTGTACCCGCCGGATACGCCGAGATGTTGGGCCTCGATGCCGCGGAGCGAGCGAGCCTCTCTTCGGAAGGCGAAGCATTGAGGTCTTTACCCCACCAGCGATTCCATGGGTTTGTGCACAGACCCCTGTCGAAAGACGACTTTCCTCTTGGAAAGGGCCCTTTTGCACTTCCATGTCTGTTGGGAGGGCGTTTCAAAGGGGGTCCCCCTCCTCAAGTGGGTGCTAATTCTAAAAGTGTGCCCTTTTCAGAGTTGCCGGAAAACAAAGAGAAACCTTCATTTTGATCCATTTTGGGGTACCCTAAGCCTCACCCAAATGGTTTCCCAAACCACGTGTTTCCCCTGTGAAGGATCTCCTTGCACCCCCCTACTGTGGATAGACAAATCCACTTCGCACCAGTTGGGGAAGAAAAAAAAAGATAAACGACCTATCAACTGGTGCAGGGAAACTTGCCCATCCACCGTTTTCATCTAGTCGCTTCCGCAAGGCTTTCACCCCCAATGACTTCTCTGCGGCTTGCGGCATCTCCGACTCGTGGATGGTCCTGGGCAGTCCGGGAAGATGGTCGAGAATCCAGTCATTGGTCCCCTCGGGGTATCCTCATTCTAGGGGTACCTGCCCCATTCTTTCCAGGGATCCTTCTTCTCAGGAAACCATCAAAAACCCAGGGAAAATACCCGGTTCTTGAAAAGAACGATGGTTGAAAAGAATGGGGAATCAACCCCTAGACTCAGGTCCCCTTTGGGTATCCTCATACTTGTCTAACTCAACTACGGGAGCAACAGTTGTTGGCATGGTTCAGTTGAGGGTGAAACCCCCCACCTCGGACAAATTCCCGCCCCAAGGTAGCCCTCGTTTCCCCGAAAATGAAAATGCAAAGGGCTCCATGTGGCAAAGGCACTGTTGAACGCGGCACTTGTCCAAAGCACTCTGAAACCAAATGTGGATCAAAACCACGGATTCCTTCAAGTGGCTTGCACATTGTCCTACAAAGGTTGCCTCAAAACCTGTTTACACCCATACATGCTGGAGTTTCTAGCAAGGGGTAGTAACAAAGGAGGTGGGTAGTCGAGAGTCCTAAATTTCCTTAGGCTTGCTTATGGTTCCTTAAAGTTTCTTAGGGATTCCTGGCGGTTGCGCCAGGAGGGTTCCTTAGAGGGGTCCTTAGGGTTTTTTAGGGTTCCCCTAGAGTGTCGCAGGGTTCTTTAGGGCTCCTTAGAGGGTTCCTTAGGCTTCCTTCGCGTTCCACGGGGTCCCTCAAGCTTCCTTCGCATTTCTTCACCGCAGGTTTCGGGACTGGGCCGCCCCCGGACCTCCCCCCCGGGCCCCAGCTCAACACCTGCCAAAGCCCAGCGGCAGGGACATGGAGCACGAGGTGGGCACGGTGAAGCCGCTGGGGGCGGTGATCCTGCGAGGGAAGTCTTCGCCGGGGGTCCCCAGCGCTCGATTCTGCCGGAAGGGGCCACAGGAAAGATGCCGCCGGAAACCAGCGGATTTCGATTTTTGTTGGGCCATGCCCTTGTAGATTACAGGAAAAATGCTACAGGAAACCAGCTGATAGGCTGATAGGTCATCCCCCCCAGGGCAAAAGGAAGGCGGTTTCCAGTCCCAAGGCAGTTCCCAGTTAGATTTCTGGGTGGGGCCATGTCCTGTAGACTTTCATGTAACCAAGCCCTTTGAAACACTAACCGGTGGAACCAATCCACTTCCAACCAAACGAACCAAACTAAGCGATCAAAAGGCCATGTTGGTGGATAGGTTCAAAGGGACCTGTCTTGAGAATCATACGGCTCCATACCCTCGACATGCGTGAACCATCTGGAAAAACAGATGGGTGAAACCCTGTAAATGGTATATAAAACCAATTAAAACCAGTGGAACCCATCTACTTCCAAACAGACCGATCAAAAGGCCATGTCTGTGGATAGTTTCAAAGGGAAACCAAGACTTCCACCCCCAATATATATATATATATTAAAATGGGAAAATATGTGCAAGTAGTGAAATCGATTCCCTTGAATTTCAACATCAGGGGGGAAATAACACCTATTCATTTCAGCAAATGGAAGTGCACTGTTGCCCCGACGGAACTGGCCGCGAGTTCTGGCGCAGCTTCGCTCTCAACCTTCGCCTCATGGATCGTGTTTGAAGGGGAGGCCAAAAGGAATCCAGCCCTCTTCCGTCGGAGGTCTATTCTCAGAAACTCAAACGGAGGGGCCGGACTCCCAAGGTCGCCCGTCATTTTTTTGCGGCAAAGCTGGGGGTGGCTCAAAATTAAAAGGCTGAGGCAAACCGCAGGCTTAGCAAAGTTGGTTGCATTTACCACAGTGCTGGTACATGGCTGTGGGTCAAAACCTATGGTGCCATCTTGGGGTAGGTGCAGGTGCACCACCCATTTTAGTCGGGATTTTAGTGGGGATTGGGATGTTCACTGGGGGTACGGGCTTTGGAGTCTGACCCATGGCCATTTGGAAAAGTGGATGGCCATGGAAATTGTTCATAAAACTCATCTAAACCAGTGGAATCCATCTGGGTATGGGCCAAAATTAAGCCACCACAAAAACCGCAGGTTTTTGAGCGGCCAAATTGTTCGTCCAATAAACCTACAGAAGGTCTAAGGACCTTTCTCCACATTTCTGAGCGCTTGGAGCAAACCAGAAAGCCCATGCACATTAACAATTTTCGCGGAACAGCGTTTTTGAGCCACTGCCAAAAAACGTGCGCACGCCTTACGTGGCCGCCGTTCGGCACCGCGTTCACCGGGCGGAGCTGAATGGTCACCTGGCGAGCGGACTGACTCGGTGGGGGAAAAAAGAAAACAAGCGGACGGCTGGCCCCTAAAATTTGGACCCTCTGGTTGCTTTCCGGCACCGCCACACAAGTCTCAGAAGGAACGATCCCCAAAATGGACCCTCGTGTTTTTTTTTTTTTTCCGGCACTGGCGCCACACAAGTCTCGGGGAAAAGCACCGAAACGCAGGGGCAAACGCTTGCCCCTCCAAAATGAGCCGCGGCCAGCGGCGCGTGCTTAACACTTGAAGGGGGCCAGCTTGCTCCAGCTCTACAGAAAGAGCACCAGTTCGTCCCATGTTTTTGGGGTTCCTTGAGAAGCCATGAAGTTTGGGGAATGGACGGACGGTTCAGGCACTTTAGCTGCTTTGATCACCCTTGGAGTTGGTGAGGAGTTGCTCACTTAACACATTGGCAGTCTTGCATACGTCAACTTTGACTCAGCTCTTTTCTCTTGGCACGGTGCCCCGAAGGAAAAATCCATCGCACTCCAAAAGATCGCAGGTCGAAGCCACTCGCAGGGATCGACCGCCTCGTTCATGGTCTGGTAGTCTGCCCGCGACGCGGCCGTGGTCGTGGGGCTGATGGAGGTGTTGCCAAAGGCCTCCGGACGTCAAAAGTTCCCAGTGCAACCGTTTTCAGCACAACAGTAGTACGCAAAATATGCTTTGGCAGCTTCATCGCGCCTGTACCAGCTCTATTATGTGGTTTTATGTTGTTTGTTTGACAAGGAAATTCTGCAAATCATCCACTTGGCGGAAAGGAACTCAAACTCAATCCTACTTGCAACTGACATCCAAATCAAATATAAAAGTGCTTCATGTCCTTGCGCAGTTGCATTTACATGCTAATTCAACTTGTCGTACATAATTCCACATACATTCTAACTAACTGTATTAAAGTCAAAGTTGCAAAGCAGCTATCTCAGTTCTGTGATATGTGTCTAATACGATTCAATCTGACAATAACAACTATTGAAATTCAAATATCGGAAAGAGTTGTAAGAGAATCTTCGATCTATCTTCAAGCCAGGATGTGTTAGCACGTGCTACTGTGGATGGACGAAATCCTGCACCACCCAAGGAAACCCTGGAATGATTCGATTCCCCTGACAAATGCAAACAAACCATGGTGTCCCTTGGTAAAAAAGCGGTGCAAGATTTCGTCCACCCACAGCACACCCGGAATTGCACGAAGTGCTGATGCTAGAACTTAAGTCTAAAGGAAGGGCATTAGTCGCTGGAAAGTGTATTTTACATGCATGTGTACAGCAAAACCCTGAATTTTCGAACAACAACCAGAGTATTCCAGGGGGGGTACCATATATATATATAGTGTATGGCTACCCATATATATATATATACTTATATACATGATTATATGTGATATTGTGAGTGAAATTGAATTGGGGACATTCTTGGGGGGATTCATGTCCACCCACCACTTTTGAGAGGTGGTTCCCTGTTGAAATTCATAGCTAGCTGTGCAAACTTGGGAAGCGGAAAGCGAAGCAACAAAAGTAATCTCGCAAAAATACGCAAAACAACACTTGCAGCCATTGGGTCTGTCCTTTTTTGGGCCCCCCCCCCAAAAGAAAAAGGTGGTTTTTCCTTTGGTTCCCCTTTCCCAAAGCAACAAGCGATACCAACTCCAAAAAAGATAGCCCCACTTGGCAGACTCAAGCTCAAGTTGATCTACAGCTTCCTTTTCACCAGCCTTGGAACGCATAACGTTTGCAAAATTCCAAGACACGGATCCCTTCTAAGAGCATTCGTCAGGCTGGATCCGCGGATCCGATCCCTGCTATAGAATGTCATGGTGGAACAGAACTCGCATTGCGCAACAGAATTAATGTTAACCCCGGATCTAAGTAGAACCCCTGGTTGATTTTGATCGGGGGTGTCCAATTTCTTTTAGTGGGGATTCGGACCACTCTTGGAGGGAACACCCCCCCCCCCCGAATAGTGGGACGGGTTTATTAATCCTGGCTCAACATTATTATGATTCCGTCAAGTGAGCCATCCCTTCTGACTTTACAGGAGTTTGCCTTTCAGAAAACGCTCTTGTCAAAGAACCTCATCTTGCTGGTGCTCAATGACCGAGTCATTGAGCTGTTGGCAACGAACCGGAGAATTTCCTTACAGGAAACCACCAGTTGGATCACTTAGTTCAGGGTCTTTCCAGTTCTCAGGGGCCCTGCCTATCGAACCCTCAGTCGGGAATGACCTTCCGGATATTGGGAATGAACCGGTTTAGGGGATTCCCTTGAAGGAAACCACAAGGGATTACTTCTAGGGGTTATTCCATTTCTCGTGTCCCAATTAGAAAAAAACACCATTTCAGGTCACCCCAGGTTGCCCTGAATTGGTGGTTTGGATTGGGTTGGGGGACCCTGGTGCCTTTTCAAGCCCACTGAAGGAAAAATCCCCGCGTTTCTCCCGTGCGCTTTCGAGGTCTCGATCTCAGTCCGCGGCCCAAATGTTCACTCCCAGGAAGGGCTTGGACGCCTGGCTCACGAGAGCCGGACTCACACAACGCCGCACCTGACCCGAGCAAACAGGAAAAACTCGGTGCCCTTTTTGGGGGACTTACGCCCGGCTGGTAACCTCCCTTCAAACAGCAGTAGTCACCGTACCCCGAATTGGTGGCTTGGTTTGGGGGTTGCGACGTTGGGGGGGTTCCTTCCCCAGTTGGCTTGAAAAGGTACTGGGGTCCCGAAACAAATCCAAACCACCAATTCAGGGCAACCTGAGGTAACCTGAAATGGGGGGTCTCCGATTTTGAAATACTGCCAACTCCTGGCCACGTTGAGTAGAATTCAGATCAAGGATCAGAAGTAGACATCTAGATAGATGGATAGACAGACAGACAGACAGACAGACAGACAGACAGACAGACCGACAGACCGACAGACAGACACCCTGACAGACAAACAGACCGACGTACAGACAAACATACAGATAGCCAGATAGCCAAACAAAAAAATGGAAAGCTAGTTGGATGGTTGGATAGAAGATAGATAAATAGATAGATAGATAGATAGATAGATAGATAGATAGATAGATAGATAGGTAGATTGGCAGGTAGGTAGGTGGATGGATGGATGGATGAATGGATAGACAGACAGATACTTACATTCGATAAACAGATATTTGGCTGTGGGTCAAAACCCAGGAAACCCCTGATGAACATCAAAATAGGTGGTACATGGGTGTTCATCCGCCCCAAAATGAGATCGGCATGGGTTCTGACCCATTGCCATTTAGACGACGGATATTTGCATGCGTTGATAAAATCGTATGTTGACCCCCGGATAAATAAACCCCTCTTTATGAATAGGGGGGGTGTCCCTGGGTTTAGTGGGGAATCGTCACTTTTAGGGGAACACCTGGGGTCAACATTCGTCACGTAGTGTTGTTGCCAGTGGCTCCGCTCCACGCCCGGGTCCCGATGAAAACGCCATGGCGTCGTTTTGAACGGCTCGAGCCGCCACGACATCGTCCAAGCCCGCAAGAGAAGGGGAAGAAAAAGAAAGGCAAATGAAAACGCGAAGAGAACCAGAACGACAAAGACAAAGAGAAAGGCCATATACATCCTCATATGATACTCATGTGCCTCATCCTGGCGCACAAACGTGACAATTATGTCCAATGGCAAGGGCTTCCATGAAAACAAAATCCCTCTTGGTGCCCCTGCTTTGGGCGAAACCAAAGATGCCAAAAATCAGCGGCCCGTCCTCAAAAATTGTCTTCCCCAGCCGGAGGGCCGAGCGCCCGTCCAGCCTCCCCGTTGTACTCCAGCAGGAAGTAGTTGTACTCCTTGCAAGCGCCCCGCCACGCAGCCAGCAGCCAGCGGGAAAGCCCCCACACTCAAACGACCAGCCCGCAAGATGACCAACCCGGCTGGACAGGGGAGCTGGCTGATCCACGGATACGACAAGTGACAAACGTGGAGAATCCATGGGAAATCAAGCCATGGAACAAGCAGCCTATTTGCAGAATGCTTTTTTGTAGGCACCCCCCCCCCCAAAAAAAAAAAAAGAGAAAAGAAACAAACAGTGGCTTTCCTGTTGAAACCACCTGAAAAGCAAGTCACCCTCGTTTAAGCAGATTGAATCAAACCATGTCAGTATCATTGTTGGCTCACGGCCAAGGGTCCCAATTTCAAAGTCGGATCTCCCTTTTCTTTGCCAATGGAATTGGTGCTTTGGTGTCCCATTCACCTTCCACAACAGCTCTTCAAATCCCCAAACCACCACTCCAAACCAGCAACTAAGGGTTACCTAAATGGCCACGGGGCAGAACCTATGGCGATCCCATTTTGGGGTGGATGAACATCCAGTTGCCACCTATTGTGATGTTCACCAGGGGTTTCCTGGGTTTTGACCCGGCCAAATGAATTTTCCCCTGTTGGTTTTCAAAGGGAATCTATCCCCACTGGCCATATTTTCTCATTTTTCCAGGGGGCTGGAGCAAATGGAAGACTTTTGTGTGCCGCTGGGAACCAAACCAAAGCCGCCGGCCGCTCCAAAAACGCCCGGTCTTGGTCGGCCGGGGCTCCGCGCCGGGGTCACCGCGGGGTTCCGGAGCACCGCCAGCCGGAACCTGGCGAATCGGCCGACGAATCGCCTTCGCCGCGACCCAAGGCTTTCGGAGCCTTCAGCGCAGCTCGGGTGGCGTGAAAGGCCGTGGCCAGAGGATGAAACAACCCAAAGAAGGGATACACATACATTTCTGCCGAACAACTAATAACATAGATATGTGTATGTATGTATGTATGTATGTATGTATGTATGTATGTATGTATGTATGTATGTATGTATGTATGTATGTATGTATGTATGTATGTATGTATGTATGTATGTATGTATGTATGTATGTATGTATGTATGTATGTATGTATGTATGTATGTATGTATGTATGTATGTATGTATGTATGTATGTATGTATGTATGTATGTATGTATGTATGTATGTATGTATGTATGTATGTATGTAATGTATGTATGTATGTATGTATGTATGTATGTATGTATGTATGTATGTATGTATGTATGTATGTATGTATGTATGTATGTATGTATGTATGTATGTATGTATGTATGTATGTATGTATGTATGTATGTATGTATGTATGTATGTATGTATGTATGTATGTATGTATGTATGTATGTATGTATGTATGTATGTATGTATGTATGTATGTATGTATGTATGTATGTATGTATGTATGTATGTATGTATGTATGTATGTATGTATGTATGTATGTATGTATGTATGTATGTATGTATGTATGTATGTATGTATGTATGTATGTAGTATGTATGTATGTATGTATGTATGTATGTATGTATGTATGTATGTATGTATGTATGTATGTATGTATGTATGTATGTATGTATGTATGTATGTATGTATGTATGTATGTATGTATGTATGTACGTACTGTGCATGTACTGTATGTATGTATGTGTACGTGTACGTGTCTGTCTGTCTGTCTGTCTGTCTGTCTGTCTGTCTGTATGTATGTATGTATGTATGTATGTATGTGTGTGTGTGTATGTATGTATGTAGGTAGGTAGGTAGGTATGCATATATATATATATACTAGCAAGAGGAGTCACAATCAAACCCGGGTGATTAAGATGGGCGTAATCCCAGCACCATTGCTTCAAGAATTAAGAAGGCAAATATCCGCAGCTATTTACGACTGGGATTGTCCCCTTACTAACCTTCATCTACCCGGGTTTTGATTGTGACTCAGATGATTAAACCACGCAAAAAAGGGCCTACCCTCCCTCCCACTGACACAGGGTACCCTCCCTCCCACTGACACAGGGTACCCCCAAGAGGAAAGTCATGGACCCCTCGCTTCGTGACACACATTCTGCGTCCCGAGGGCGGCACAAGTAGGTCTTGAACAACTCCAGCCCTCGGCCCATCGATCACTGTCAAATGAACGGCTTGGTTGGAACAGGGCTCAGTGATCCGGCCCCATCAACCGGCGAAGAAGGGCAGGGCAAGGCCCGTGGCGCATTTGGTCTGTTCAGAGGCGATGTTTACTTCTGGCACCTTCAACTGTTTGGGAACGTGCGGTTTCCCACAAACCAGTACTCGCAATAGTTGAGAAACAGAGAGCAGCCCTGAACCTCGCATGTAAAAAGGCTGAGGGTAGAACAGAACCCGGGTGGTTTAACATGAGGGAGAGGACAGCGGTGCGGTGGGGCGAGGAACAGGGCCACCTGTGTTGGGCTCTTCAGGTAGATATCTTTAGCTGCGCAGGTGGATACCGTTCCGAAGGTAGATAGAGGTGTTGCTTGTTGGAGAAAAACAAACCCAGAAGGGACACTAAAGGCAAGCCTCGATATAGAGGGATGGGCGGCAGTTTGTTCTTCCATGCAGGGCGCATATTTGTCAATAGGGGGACATGGTGTTGTTCAACTCGCAATCGGCAAGTTAAGACAACAAACCTGGGTGCAAATGGGTGTCTGGCAAAATTCGAGACGGTTCCCCTTCCTCTTGTGGTTTTTGTTTGGGCAAATCAACAGGGTTTAACAGCATCGATATATTGCCATGGGTCAAAAGCCTGTACCCCCAATGAACATCCCAATCCCCACTAAAATAGGTTCTAAAATGGGTGGTGCACCTACACCAAAATGGTACCATTGGTGTTGACCCACAGCCATACGGGGTATGTCTCAAAAACGGGGTTGCCCTTTAAAGCCAACCTCCAAAAAAATCACCCTATGAAAATGCAAAATCCCCAAGCATATATTTTGGTGCATGTTTTTGACCCACAGCCAGAAAAACTAGTGAGGGGATCCAAAAACCGGCTGTGTGGGTAACAATGGCCGGTTTTTGACCCGAAAAATTTGGTGAGGGGATCCAAACCCGGCCATGAGCCAAGGCCCGCGCCGGCTTCCAGCGAGATCCGCGCCTGACTCCAACCAATGTGTTCCTTTTTGGTTTCCCTTTAAAACCACCCAAAAATATTGTTTGGTTTTCCTTTTTGGCTTCCTTTTTGGCTTCCAGTTTGGTTTCCAAAAAACAATCAACTCGGAAAAAGAGACATCCAGTTGCCTTCATGCTGGTGTGTGTTTGTGTGTGTGTGTGTGTTTTTTTGAAATGGGCTGCTGAAGTCGATCCGCTTTGTTTGCTGAGTCTCCAAACGAGCTCAATCAACGCTAGTAAATATTGGCATCATGCTGGTATGCTTTCAGCGAAGGCGCTTCACCCATTGGACATCCTCCACTTGATTGGTTGCTGGTTTCTGTTGGCTTCCTCTCATGGCTGAGCCAAGAAGCGGTTCAACTTGCTCTGACTGCATGCCTACATTCAACTCGGCACAAACCAAAAATACAGTTCCAGCCACATTATATATTATACATGTACAATTCCTTGGGCAGATCGCACACACACCCGCACAGGCACAAGCACAAAAACAAGCACAAACACAAAAACAAACACACAGAAACGCAAAAACACACACACACAACCCACCCACCCACCCACCCACCCGCCCACCCGCCCAGCCAGCCACACACCCACCCACCCACCCACCCACCCACCCAACCACCCACCCAACCCATCCCATCCCATCCCAACCCAACCCAACCCAACCCAACCCAACCCAACCCAACCCACCCCACCCACCCACAAACACACACACACACACTTGATATGAGACGGCAAACTGTGAATGTGCACCCCGAAACGTAGGTGGACTCAAGCACTGAATCAGGTTGGAGTTTCGGCATGCGTATCCTGAAACAATTTCGCTCGTGAGAGGCGTCCTCATCAGGGGTGCCATCGCCACTCTCGAGGTACTTTTGAATCAGCAATCCGCATGGTGGCACCCGACTCCAAAAAGGAAAAGGAAAAGAGAGACACGACCGCAGAACCCCTTAGGAACAGGGGGGCCACACACACACCCCCCGCAGGGGGAAGAAAAACCGAACCGCCTAAAAGCCGCCTCCATCATGATTGCCGATGGGTAGTTTAGACGGTTGGCAGAACTCCTGCCTAACTGCCCACGATCATTTTACCACGGAGCATCGCCGTCTGAGCTCAGGTGCATTGGTTCGAGATGGTCGCTTTCTGGTGCTGCTCCTTCAACTTCCTGAGACGTTCCAGGCTCCTCCAGCGCTGCGTGACATCCGCAATGGACCTGTTGAGCTTCTTGGCCAGCGATTTGTACGAGTACTTGGACCGGTTGTCCGCTTTCAGGCTGCAAAGCTGCTGGTCATCTTCCTCTGTCCATGCGCGAGGTACTTCAGGGGGAGTTCCTGGATTGCCAGCATCAGAGTGAGCACAAGCAGGGGCTTCAGGAAGAGATTCAGGAGAGGAGAATGGGACCACGCAAGGAGATACTGGAGCTGGCGCTGGAGTGCGAGGTACTGGACGTGCTGGAGGCTCCGGGGAGTGCGTCCTCTCGGAGGACGTAGCACGGCATCGCTTCCGCTTCGTTCTGCGCCGATCGGTCCCACACTTGTCCATGATGGAGCTGGGAACATTGGTCTTCTTGATGCTCGGCTGACCGACATGGGTGCGCGCCATGGAGCTCTTCGGGCGTGGATCTATAACCTCGTTGGTCTCCCCCGTGACGACGCCGTAGGACAACGACTTGGGGTTTACCACCGCGTTGCGCTGGTGGTCCATGTGTAGCTGGAGTGATTGAGCGTCGACCAGCGGCGGGGGGTCTGCCAGATCCTCCGAGTTGACCGAATGCCGAATCCCGGGGCCAGGTAGTTCTGCCTCATCTAGTCGGGCATGGTCATGCGCTCGCGGTCGCGATGATTCTGCCAGCGACAGACCTCGGACGTGATGATGCCGCACGCCATCGTGCCCGCCATGCATCCTGCGACTGTGCGCCTCGTCAGCCTGATTCAAGGTCTCCTGGATGAGCTCCATCATGTCCGCAGCGTTCTGGGTCATCCGGTGGTGGAGTGCAATCATGCGTCCGAGCATGACGACCGCGTTCCGATATCGCCGAAAAGGCCCACGTCTTGAACCACCAGATAAGCTCCGTGATAAACCCATGAATCAAAGGGCTCCGGAACTCAACCAGAAAAACCCCAGCCCAACAGCCCAACCGAGTCCGACCCCGTTTGGAAAAAGGACCGAACCGAACAGAACCAGCAAGGGCCACGCAGCCGAACCTGAAGAAACAAGGACAATCAACACATAGACATTCTTTCCGGTTGGGATGGCCGGAAGATGAAACAGGTGCTGCAGATCCGCTGACTTGTAGCCGGCGGACAAATAGATACTGCGAAGCTGATCCAACGCCATCTGTACTGCCCGTGCCGGGTGCGCATACTTGGTGGCGAGAGCTGACCGTGATCTAGCCCCGGAGAGAAGGGTGGAAAGACTTCCTGCAGTGTGGGGTCCTCTGATCTGCCAGATTTTTGTTGGCGTTTTGTAGTAAATCGCCCGGTCGCCTACGTCGATGACGAAGCCGAGGAACTCAGAGGAACCCACCTGTTCCAACACGATGGGTGCACCATAAAAGTCAGCGTGAAGCAAAGCCTCCAATGGGGCTGCTGGGTGACCGGAAGCCGGAGACGGGAAGATCACAAATCTGTTGTCAACATAACGCTCCAAGAAGATGTTGTGGCTGGCGAACCATTGTCCATAAATACGCTGCCAGAGAACTTCGTGCCGCGCGACGCAAATGTGACTGAGAACTGGGCTCAGCTGAGAGCCAATCGCTGTTCCATGGACTTGGCGGAGAATGAGAGTTCCCACCTGGACGTACATGCATTGGAAGCTGGATTTGACTATATCCAGGATGTCCTCCACATAAATGACCCGCGTAGTCGGCGTGCGTCCATAGGATTGCTTACCCGCAAAGACCCGGTTGTAGTGGACCGCCGCCTGAGTTTCCACCGAATAAATAAGACTAGCATGCCCTCGCCGGTGCTCTGCTAATAGCTGCTCCACTGCTGCGCACACCTGATCCTGAGGGACACTGTTGAAGAAGCCGACCAAATCATCATTGTGAAATGCGAGAGTGACCGTATCGTCTGAGTTGTCAAAGTATTGTTTGACGTTCTGCCATATCCTCGGCGTGGGGTGTACCCCCCACGAACACTTCCATGTACTCGCGGCGATCTCGCCGAGAAGGATCGCAACCGCTTTGAAGAGCTGCCGGTGCACCACCTTATGGTAGGCTATAATGGTTCGCCCTGATTTCCATTGCTTCTTACGTTTGAGAAAGACCTTGCCGACCGGGATCGCGGTGGTCTTCTTCCTGTATGCCCATTTGTACTTCTTCTGCAGGTGCCGGGGGATGGCTTCAACAATAAGAGCCTCGGCCTGGTCGGGCTTCAGCGGAGTGGCGGTAAATGTGCCTGACTGAAGCCAAGTGTTGTGGAGGCCTTTGAAGTAGAGTTGGGGGCAGAAGAACATGAGGTGGTGGTTGTCGTGGTCCTCGTTATGGCACACAAAGTCCTGGCCGAGGTGTCGATGCAGGATGTTCAGCTGGTGCTTGGTGAGAAGTTGATGGGTGGATGCGTGTTGCCGGTGTTTCAGAAATTCACGGCGTAGGTGCTGCATGAGGGGTGCGTGGAACTGGTCCAGGGGCAGACCATGGTGCAGACACCATTTTCGTAGACGTTCGTGAACCTGCACTTCGTAGACTGACAGGTCCACATAATACGACGCCAAGGCTGAGGTGTAATGAACGTGCTGTGGAGTTCCGGGAAACCGGAACTCATCCAATCCCGCGGCCACATGGCCTTGAACATGAGATAGCCAGGGCTGCCGTTTTAGCCAGGCTGCGCACTGACACGATGATGGTCCGGCGGATGTGAGGAGGTAACAGTCCTGAAACGCCGAGAAGTTCCACATGACCGTATGAACTCGAGGATGAGGGGTCTCCGCCAACTTCGTGCTGGGCAAGTGGAATGGAAGAGCCCAGTTGCGATGGTCGAGAACAAGCCGACGAAGGACTTCCCTGGTGGACCGCTGATAATGGGGATGAGAAAGCCACGGTAACCGCAACAACAGGTTGATCTTGGGTTGTTGGAGTTGGCGGAAATCAAGAACTCTTCGCAAAATATTCCGAACTCGATGCCGATGGGGTTGTTCCACATTGCCTGACAGCCTGTATATAGCATATATATCCAAGTCTGAGTGCCGTCCACTACGAAGTCGTTTTTCCTGCTCCCAAGATTCGATGTGCTCCGAGGTGAGGCGAGCGATGATTGACCAGGCCTGGGTGTGTTTGAGCGCCACCCGATGGAAGTTCCTGCCATAGACTGTACAACTCCTCCTGCGCAAGCGGAGGAAAAGGCGTTTGCCAAACCTGGACCAGGGCTGTTCGGCAAGAAACCGGGTAGCCGTGTAGCCAGTGGAGATGCGCTTGTACCGCCGGTAGATGTAGGGCCAGTTGAGGGACGGCTGATAGATGCTGATCAAGGCGTGTTCTTGCGTCCAGGTGACGGTATGGTCAGAGTCTGTGAAGATAACCCATGTAGCGAACTCGTCATAGTTACCAAAATGATGCCACCATCTGAGGGCCGGCTCTGCATTAATAAACTGTCCGTGCTGAATACCCAGTAACTTGGCCCTACGATTGTGTTCTCGACTGGGATAAGTGATGCTGGTACTTCCAATATATACGTCCGACTGCGGGTTGACTGAGCGTGGAAGGTCTGGGCGGAGTTCGACTCGCTGCTTCCAATACACTGCGTTGGGCTGCAAGAAGTGGCCGAAGGTGTACATGTTCGGGTGGATGCGTAACCGCCGGAGTCGGCGCCTGAGCTCCGTGAGCGCGTGCGTGGGACGACCGTAGTGATGGACCATCAGCAGGGTGGACATTGACTCAGACCACATAGACAGTTGCTTGTTGACCATCGGCATGTTGAGGATTTGGCGACTGGTGACGATGATCAGATAGAGAACCTGATAATACTGGTGGGCTGCATGCACATCGAGGGAGTCCCCAAGTCTGATTGCAATAAGCGCGACGATGTAGGGAAGGAAATAATCGGTGCCATGCTGCAAGCTCACCGGCCAAGACGGCTCAGGAATACCATAGTGTCTGGCTGCACTGCAAAGCTCCGACCGCGCATACTGACTATATAGTTGCAAAAGAAAAACCGTTTCTGGAGATTGAATGACCGGCATGGCTTAGCCATGCATCCAACGCTCGAGCACTGAACGGTTGATTAGGTCAACAGGAAAAACGGAAAACCGGAAAAAAAAAACGAACAACCACCCCGCGACCCCGAAAACCTACATGAAAACGGAAAGGTAAAAGGCCGCTGATGGTCTCCGGGCAAGGTGCAGGCGTGAGGAGCAGCGGGCTTTTCAGACCAGTCGTGTCAATGGTGCTAACTTCCTTCCTCATGAGCGCTACCGTCACTCCCCTCACTTGCCATACATGTACATCACCGTGATGAACTGCAGGAGTGCTCGCTTCGAGCCTTTGCTCACTAAAGAGACGGTGGCCCCCCACTTGACTGCAATGGCTTTCAACTGCTCCACAGTGTCAGATGCCAGCTCCTGTTTGATGAGATCAAGGTAGTTCGCTTGGTTGGACAGCGTGCGTTCGTGTAGCCATGCCTTGAAGACCTTGTCCGTGAGACTGGTAGGAAGTGGCACCTGCTGACCTTTGGGGTTCCCTTGACGTAGAAGGTCCGAGTCTAGAGTAACATCCGGGGGAGCCGCCGGGGTCTTTCGCTTTGCTGGTCGTCGCTTAGGAGCCGGATCAGCCTCTGGAGATGGAACTGGTAGGGGAGGTCCTGGCTGATCCGAGTTGGCCGCATTAATGTAGAGAGACTGGTCGGAGCGGCCGGGCGTGGGGGTCCAGGACGCGGCATTGGAAGGGGACGAGGATGGCAGCTTCTTATCCGGTGTAAGAGTGATGCCTTTGCTCTTGTAGCGCTCCAACTGTTGCTCCAACTCGGCAATTTTGTGGCGAGTGAGGTTCTCCTGCTTGGCGGGCTGCAAGGACTCCATGAGATCCACGATTTTGATTGCAAGTGGCTCCATAAACTGCATGGCCTCATTGCGCTTGTCCGGCGCATTGTCCGCGTGGAGAGAGCGAGCTGTCCTGTCAATGTCGATCCCTGCCTCTCAATGCTTTGAGAATGGAAGTCAATAAGACTGCCTCGGCTATTGTCTGAGCCATGACTGGTGTGCTGTAGCGACCATTGGACAGTGCTCGTAATGCGTGATCTTCTGCTCCTCCTCGAAGAGCGTGTGAGTGGAAGATCCAGAATAGCTGTTCCTGCGAGCCCGACTCTTCTGGACCACTGAGTGGGCTGAACGTGACGGTACAGCTGCAGACCACGGACCTCCGTCTTATCCAAGAAGATATCGTCAGATTGGAAGGTGCTCGGAAGTAGCTGCGAATATCGAGGCTGAGTGTATTGCGTTGCATCACCCTGGCCGAGAGGTGCCCGAACTGGAGGTTGAGCTGGCGGTGCGGGTGGTGGAGGACGAGGACCCGTCTGCGCTTCTTCGCGAAGTTGATGTTGCGATGGTTCCGTCCGATTGGAGCTGAGATACGCCTCCTGCTGGGACTGCGGAACTGACCATGACGGAAGATACGAGGGTCCGAATACGAAGAGGAGGAAGGTGCCGATGCCGCCGGCCATGAATAGCTCCACTGAGAAGCCATCACTAGATAGGAGGTTGCCGGTCACACTGCTAATGGGTTAAACGCTAGGGGGAACGCCACACATTTCCGAGACAACAACCATTGCGAAAACGACACCCAAAATCCGACCAGGCCCGGGGCTGTGAGAGACCAGAAAACAGCATTAGTTACTCAAAACTTCAAAAAAGGAAGCCCTGCAATAAGGTCAGCACATACTCGAATGAGGCCCTGGCGTGCACTTTTTGTCGCAAAATATCGTCGGTAGTCGAAGACGGCAGTGTGGCGAAGAAGGCTACAACAGCTCCTGGTGCAGGTTCACGAGCGGAGGACACCAGTAGGTGGCTTTGCATCGGTGGGCCATGCGAGTCCGACAATCTGGCTTGCCTCCGGGATCACCATCCAACACTTGCCCGACACATAGTGGATGACATCAGGACGCTCACTGGAGTCCAGGGCCTCAATGCAAGCTTGCTCTCCTCCCGACCGAATGGGCTGACAGGTGCCAACAGCGCGTCCGAATAGCAACAATTGAGCCATGTTAAAAGACATGCTCCAGTTCTGGCTCATCGTGCGAGCGATTTCTTCAGCGTCGTAGTCGGCGTGTCCAGTGATCTTCCAGCCCTGGGCATAAAAGGCTGGGCACTCCGAGGAGTGCTGCCGGGAAGGATGGATCTGTCGGCTCCGCAGGATGCCGCGAGTACCTCCAACACTGGAAGCGTGAGTCCAGAGCAGCATGGGTCGCGTCTTCGTCGGTTCTTTGAGCCGGACTGTGGCCCCAAGATAAGGGACGGTCAGCATGAACCAGTGCGGGGTGATCTTATAAAAATGATGATCCGGGTTGACCTTCGCATAGTTCAGGGTGGAGTGCTGAGACGGTATGCCTGCTGCATTCAAGGTCGCGGCCACATAGCTCATCTGATCCTGATTGACTGGGATCCCATCGCGAAGATATGGTGCGGCCAGCACCTGAAGTTCGTTCCTCCAAGGATCAGACTCCGGATTGGGAAGCAAGACCAGCGGTGGCTGTGCCTGCGGATTGGGGCGTAGCTGCATGCTCCTCGAGGACGACCCCACATCCGGGTGAGCTCCTGCGGCCTTGGAGGCCGGAGCTGACGGGGCACTGCTTCTGCTACGCGGAAGGGGAGATCGATTGCTTCTCGGTCGCCGGGATGAAGCTTTAGTTGCCGTAGGTGCCCGGGATGAGGACTTGGCTGCTGTAGGCGTCGGCGCGGTAGCATTCGATGCTTCCGTCGCGGTGTTGTCCGATGCTGAGTCCCTTCGGGAGATCGGAGGTGGCGTCCGGGAGCGAGCTCGGCCTCGCCGCTGTGGGGGCACTGACTTGGAGTAGGGGGAAGCGTGGTGGGCACGTGACCTGTCTCCCTCCGTCGCGTGGCGTGATCTGGATGGTGGGTTGGGCGGTGGAAGCATCAGACCTGATGGGGTTGCCGTAGGGATCGGTGTAATAGGGGTCGGTGCTGTGGGCATAGGTGGGCATGCTGTAGTTGAAACTGTCGGGGTAGTTGGCGTCATCGGAGTCATTGGTGTCATCGGCGTGGCCGGGCGTGCTTTCACCAGGATTTGCGGCAGTGGGCCAGCTACAGATGCAGGCCAGACCTCCAAGGTAGGGACCGATGCCGATACGTCACCAGGGGCAAGAGCCGGGACCGCTGCTTTGGCAGCCCTTGAGGCGTTGGACACCTCGCAAGATATCCTCGAGGCTGGTGTCACAAGCGTACTCCTGCTCGGTGATGCTGACTGGTGCACCGGAGACCTGGGCGGCGTAGGGCCGGCAGTGTTCCTGGATGCTTTGGCCATGGGGCCTGCCGAGTTCGACGTCGGACCTGCGTGGGGGCGAGACATCTAGTGCCAACAATTGCGAGCCAAGACCAAGCTGACGGCGTCGTGATTTTCCACCTGATGTGTCGGGTAGTCGGATTGGTTGTCAAACAGTTGGTCTGACAGAAACGGTTCACGGAAACAGTCTGGGGTGCCGGAAGGTCTGGGAGAGGTCCAAGCCTGTATTGATAAGGTCAGCTGGAACAGTCAAGCGTCACGAGCGACAAGGTCCGGTAACAGTCTGTAGAAAATGTCTGAGCATGAGTCGGAACAGATGCCCACAACGGGGATCAAGACACTGACCGAAGCCCGGACGCAGTGCCTAAACACACTTGATATGAGACGGCAAACTGTGAATGTGCACCCCGAAACGTAGGTGGACTCAAGCACTGAATCAGGTTGGAGTTTCGGCATGCGTATCCTGAAACAATTTCGCTCGTGAGAGGCGTCCTCATCAGGGGTGCCATCGCCACTCTCGAGGTACTTTTGAATCAGCAATCCGCATGGTGGCACCCGACTCCAAAAAGGAAAAGGAAAAAGAGAGACACGACCGCAGAACCCCTTAGGAACAGGGGGGCCACACACACACACACACACAAAAAAAAAAAAAAAAAAGAAGAAGAAAAAAAAAAGGACAAAAACGACACACACCCCTGCACCTTGGTGGGTGTTGTCCCAAACAGCAGGGCGGTCTGCCTGCCTTTGAAGGGCCAAAGTTTGGCATGCGGCACGAGGAAACCTACATTTTTCGCAGTTCTACACATTAAAACCAACAATGTTAAAGTGGGTCCTGGGTCTTTGGCACTGCTGGAGGGATGTAAAAACAAGCCACAAGGCATTGCTCAACCGGTCCATGTTTCAGCCTACCCTTACCAGTGCTTCCAGGAACCAAAAGAAACCAAAATAGGAGGGCCCAATAAATGGCTTCAGATTTCCATCCCAATAAGGCTCCTATCTTGAGACGGACCTCCAACCCAAACACTTCCGCAAATGCGGAAAGAAAAAAAAGGAGAGAAAAGGCAACTGGAGATGCTCCAAAAAGAAAAATATGTCAGTCTGTTTGTTCAAGAGGTAGCCTTTTGGGGTTGATACTCATTCATACAAAGGGGGGTTCCTCATTTCAAGGGAGCCGCCCAGCTGCTGGATCCCCAGCCCGCCTCGTTGTCCCTCCCCAAGCAGCTCAGGGCGTTCACGGCATCCGGCCAGGGACTGAGAGAGACGGGGGTGTGCTATTCGGCGCCGCAACAACAACTGACGCTCATGAACACATAGGTGTCCTTTTTGGTTGAAAATGGATGGGTTTCCCTGGTAAGTGGAATGAACCAGCAGGTAAACCAGGAATCGCCCTCTATTTTTAAAGCAAATCAACCAAAAAGGACACCTATGCTCATGAAGTTCTTGCTAGGGGTTGAAAAAAATGGGTTGAAACCTAAGTCCGAGCCCTTGAAAAAAAAACAACCCGTTCATGAAGCTCTAAGACTGTTCTGGGCTGCCCTCAGATCCCCCGCCAAAAGTGAATGACTTTTATTGGGTGAAATGGAAACTGCCACTAAACACTAAAAGGCTAAAAGGCTAAAAGGCTACGGGGATGGCTGGGAGCCACCAAGTGTTTCTACCATACCTCAGCATGACCCCTATTCCGGCCTTGAAACCTAGGAAGTGTGACCCCTTGAAGAAAACAAAAACGGTCATGAAGTTCTTGCTTATCGGCGGTGAAACCTAGGGAGTCCGACCCCTTGAACAAAAAAGATGGACGTGATTTTCCTGCATCGTGAATCAGGCACGCGCGATATGGCCAAAATCCAATTCTCCGAGTCCCATCCAGCTAAAACCCGGGATGTAGATCTCGGTGAGACTGGCGCTGCGCTAGAGATGTGCAAGTCGTTGATACCAGTGCGACTCTTCTGCGGCTCTTCAGGACGCCTCCGGCGAAGTGCAAAAGGTGCACAAACATCCTCGAGCTTTTCAAACATCGGCCATGCGGATGTCCACAGAGGCTTCGCCTTTCTGACGGTCGGCCGAAAAACGCAAAGCACCACGAGGTTGTGTGGGTCGACCCACCCCAAAGTGCAAGTGCGCAGCGGGTTTACTGATTAAGGGCTGCGGCATGCGGCCTTGTCAATGGTCTCGTCTCCGCACCCTCTCCGGAACCGCTCCGAGCGAGCCGGATTCACGCATTGGGCCAACGTCTTCTGCCTCGTGCCACTCCCCAGTTCTCGAGATGTTTTATTCTGTCATGGCTTGTTCACGCGTGACGCATGCATTTCTAAGGGAGAGAGAGAGAGACAGTAGAGAAAAACAAAAAAGAGAGAGAGAGAGAGAGAGAGCTCATAGTCCCAGCACTACAGACATCACGTCTGGTCAAACCTTCCTTTGATAATATGTATGTATAATCTGTGTGTGTGTGTTCAAGTCAGGCAGTGATTGGCCCAACCAGTGCCTTGTACTTTTAGGAACTCCAAGTGGTTGACCTTTCACAAGCTTCCTCACTTTGGGACACGCAGCCTGTGCACGTACCTGTGAACAGTAAAAAGTGTCACAACATGCGACAGTGTGCTCAGATGATGACGACTTGGTTGAAGGGAAATGAAAAACCGGCCATCTGCGGAGGGTCCCTATTTGAGAAAACTAAGAACCGTGTGTCAAGACATTGACAGTACACGGGCAGAACATATCGTTCTTGCCCGGTACTGATATTAGTGCTGTGAGAGGAACGCCGATACCAGCTCGTTCCCTGTCAACGAGCTGCGGCAATGGCTGCGTTCAAGGTGAACATGCACACAACAGCAGCATTGGCTGTAGCTCATGCTCAACAAAAATATGGCGGCACAAAACACAAAACATGTGAGACAGTTGTCCCCATACTGCCTTTCACCAAGTCACCAAGCAACTTGTATGAGGCCAAGGAAAGGCGACGGAATTTTGGCGATGGAATCACACGGGGTGGGTTAATTTTTGAGTTAGTACCCTTTCTTGGCTGTCTTAACGGGAAACCACGCCATTTTGGTGTCCCCTGAAAAAAGATGCCAACAGGGAATCAGGAAAAGGAACTCAGAGAACCGTATGCTCCAAGCTCCACACTCGTAACGCTGCGCGTAGGTCCGCTTCTCCGGAGGGCCGATCTGAGCAAAAAGGCTCAAAATTGGGGAGACAGTTGAAGTGGCATGGGGGTTTCTCAAAATAGGGGACCTATGACAGTCCAATCGCCTCTGATCGTCCACTCCGTGATGCAGAACAAACCTGTGAGAGAGTTGAAATGGCATGTCGGGGGTTTCTCAAAATAGGGGACCCCTTTTTGGATGGTTTCAAAGCTTAACTGAAACCAAACAGAAACCACCTGTCACATGCTTAGTCTGCATCATGGAGTGGACGATCCGTGGCGTTTGGACTGTCGGTTTGGATTGGTGGTTGAGGAGGGGTTTCCCATTTACCCTCTAAAACCAAACCCAAACCAATCCAAGCCACCAAACAAGGGGAATCCGACCACTTCGAACCCACTTCCCCATGATCAGGCCAAGCCGAGGCCAGGAAAAAAAAACAAAAACGCGCGCGCGCAAAAGCGCATCTCGTGCAGCCCAGGGCACGGTGTGCGCGAGGTTGGGATCCAAAGGCACATTGTCCGGCCTCAGCTGCAGCCATCTGCGAGGCATGCTGTGGGCGGAGGAAATCCGCGGCACCGCTTTGAAGCCGCAAAATGGTTTGCTGGTATTTACAGGGAATCATCATTCCAGGGGTTCTTAGGTGGTGCAGGATTTCGTCCATCCACAGTATGAGTGTCAATGTTTTTGGGCGGCCATTTTGGGGCTGTCAAAAAGCCCAACGGGAAGGGAACGCCACCGCACACTGTGGGAATCCATTTTGAGACATGTGCCAAAGTCGGAACTCCATCAGTGGTGGCCAGAGCTACGCCATGACTATCCTAACCCTGGGAAGGCAGGCCTTTGGACCACAACATTGGGGAACCAAGCGAAACTTTGAGCCTCGCATAGGCCAAATGAAAAATCCGTCAGCTTGATGGAGTACTTCATCCAATGGGTTCAAACCAACATAACCGTCTTGGGCTTGACCCAAGTCTTGCGAAAGGAACTTCGGCAACGGAGACGATTTTGTTTAAACCCAAAGGGGCCATGGTACAGGACACCACAAGAACAAACATCTGAAGGTCTCTGCCTTGGACCAGCAAGATGATGCTTCTAGAAAGTTAGGGGTTAGGTGGGCTCTCAAGGCATTTTTCAGTGCCTCGATTCTAGAAAATTGCTCCACGCATTGACATTGAACCCTTCAGGGGCTCCCCCAAAACGAGTTTCCTCTCAAGTGGGTTTTTTACTCCAGGTTCTGTAAGGAAACCAACAATCTGGGTGAATTGGAACATTTCATCAGCCTGAAATACGGTGGTTGGCATAAACCACCATTTGGGGTGAGGTCGTGTGAGGTCGTTATAATTTACCCAGAACTATCCCCTAGCCACACGAGGCCAAATGCATGAGAGCAATCTCCGGTTCGTTCCCAAAACCAAAGATTGGCCGAGATGGCGTGGATCCAACAAGTGCCACTCTAGGTATGGGTGTACCATGAGTGTACCCATAGATCTGATCAAAGTCAACCTCTCGGAAAGAAGACAAGAACAAACTTCACAACCCTTGGCATAGTTGCAAAAACAAACTTTGTTGTTTGCAGCCCCCTACTAAAATGAACGGAAACAAAAAACCAACAAAGCAAACACTTGCCAAGAACAGTGCAGAGAAAGCACAGAAAGCCAAGGGAGTCTTACCCCTGAAAACAAATAACCCCATCGAACCAGCACGCTCCGCCGCTCCGCGCCCCTCTGGATTGGCTGTTTTTTTTTGTTTTTTTCCCTGGGGAGCCCAGCACTCTGGGAAGGTCTCCATTGACCTGCGCCGATCTTTTGTGTGGTGGACTTCGTTCATTGTCGGGGGGGGGGGGGGGATGTGGGGGGGGGGGGATGTTGGGGGAGGGGGGGATGTGGGAGGGGGATGTGGGGGGTAGGGGAGATGCGGGGGGAGGGGGAGTGGGACCCACGTCAACTAATGGAAAACTACAAGAGGTGCAAAAGTCGGGAAATCCTGATCGGGGGGTGTCAGATAGGGAAACCAAAAGGGTTTGTTGAACCGTTGCTGGGGTCGGCTGATTTTAATTTTTTTTTGCGTAACCCTGGCATTAGCCTTAGCCTAACCCTGGCACAGCCTGGCGTGCACGAAAGGAGACACTAAAGGACCAAGGTTTGGGGTGGGTTCAGGGTTAGTCCTTTTAGGGTAGGTCGAGGCCCGGCATCGTTTCAGCATCGTTTTCAACATCCTCAGCATCACCAGGCTTTTGTTTGGGCTGAGTTTAGGGTAGGTTCCAGGTTGGCTCAGGGTTGGCTCCGGGTCGGTTTCAGGCCTATTGAGAGCAAATTTTGGGGGTGGCTGTGCTTGAGGTAGATGGTTTAGTGCTGTTTTATGGTGGGTCTTCTTGGGATTGGTTTCGGGTAGGTTTAGGGCTGGTTTAGGGTGGGTTTAAAATTGGCCTCGGCCGTGCTTGTGTTTAAGTGGGCTTTGGGTGGTTTAAGGTAGGTGGGGTGCCACCTGAAACCACCTAAGCTCTCAATAGGCCTGGAACCCACCCGATGCCAACCCTGAGCCAACCTGGAACCCACCCTAAACCTAGCTAGCCCAAACCAAAGCCTGGTGATGCTGAGGATGTTGAAAACGATGCTGAGTATGTTAAAACGATGCTTGACCTCGACCTAGCCTAAACGGACTACCCCAAGCCTACCCTAAACCTACCCTGAACCCACCCCAAACCTTTGTCCCACCGAGCCGCCAACCAACCAACCAACCAACCAACCAACCAACCAACCAGCCAGCCAGCCAACCAGCCAGCCAGCCAGCCAGCCAACCAACCAACCAGCCAACCAGCCAACCAGCCAACCAGCCAACGAGCCAGCCAACCAACCAACCAACCTGCCAAAGTTCGCCCTGTGCCAGGGCTATGCAAAATAAAAAACCTTTCCTGCTGGGGTTTACTGTACAAAAACGCTGTCTAAATGGGTCTCGGATCTTGTCTGGCCATGGGTCAAAATCCCGTACCCCCAGTGAATATCCCAATCCCCACTAAGATAGACCAACATGAAAATGGATGGTGCACCTACACGGCCGACCCGAAAGTGGTACCATTGGTTTTGACCCACAGCCATCTCACTTCTGAGATAAGCCAACGGCTGAACAGCTTCTGTCCAACTACAAGGTGCTTGACACATACTGCTGGACCCGCCGAAAAAATATGATGGCTTCCTTTGCCAGAGCTTCCGTTTGCTTTTGCGCCCCCTGGGAAAAATGACAAATATGTCCAGTAGTGATAAATTCCCTTCAAACAGTAGGGAACAAATACATGTTTATGCAAATGGATGCAGAGCTTCTGAAAAAATGGCTTGCGAGCTCCTCATGGTTGCGTTCCTCCGAAAAGTTCTTCTACAAATGTGTACACTGCAACGGCTGTAATTCAGCATCGCCCAAGGAACAAATAAGCACCAGCTAGCCACTTCAACAAACTGTCCGCATGTGCTACACTCATGCGCTACCTGGGATTGAATTGATTGCAATAGTCCCCCCCCCCCCCCCCACTTTTTACTTTTGACTTGTGGCAAGAATTCCAATGACGGGCACGGAGCGAAAGTATCATAGCTGCAAGACATGTGTATGTGCTCGATGGGTTGCGGGCCGCTCCAGGTGGCAGCAGGGTATGAATTCTAATCGGGAGTTAGAGACCCTTTGGTGGACATCAAATGAGTCACAATCAAAACCCGGTCTTAACATGGTCTACCCAGAACCATGCTTCAAGAAATAAGACTGCGGATATCCGCAGCGATTTATGGCTGGGATTGTCCCTATCCTTCATCTACCCGGGTTTTGATGGTGGACATCAAATGTACATGGGCCGTTGAAAGGTTCGTTTCCACGCCGAGTGGCTGCAGAGTCGTTGAAGATCCGAGAGGACGGCGCCGTGATCACCCCTCGGCGCGTGCGCCGGTATGCCCCGTGTTGGCATGTCGCAAGCAACCTGCCTGAAAGCAACCAACACGGGGTCCCGTGATTTTCACATTCCCCAAGTGCCAAGTCTTCCATTTGCTTTTTCGCTCCCTGGAAAAAAAAGAAAATATGTCCAGTAGGGGAAGATTCCCTTTAAACCAACAGGGGAGAGTAACGCATGGGTGTGGGTCAAAAAATCGGTAACATGGAACCCGATCGGTAAATGGAACCCATGACTACAGGCGGTCCAATTCCTTCAGGGAAGTCCCAGTTCCTTCATCTGCACCAGCCACACGCCTCAAACTCAGCCTTCGGACTCGGATTCCCGAGATGATCCGCAGGTGTGAAACTCGAAAGACTGACAAGAAATGGCCATGGGCTTTTCAAAATCCAAAGCCCGATTAGCCCCCAGTGAACATCCGATTCAATCCAACCACAAAAAAAGACTACAATGGGTGGTGCACCTACCCCAAAATGGCACCATTGGTCTTGACAGCCAAATGGCCATCCAGGTGTCCAAGGTTTTTCATAAAATCCTTCCATCTCGGCTGTCCCTCAGATTGCCAAAGGCGCAACCCGGTGGCACAACCAAAAATAAAACGGAAAACCTAAGGAACCGGATGGCTGAGAATCCTTCTCTCTGGGGGAACCTGAACAGTCCCCTCATCCGCAAATCTCTGCCGCGATCCACGGGGCCCTCTTTTCGGCGGGCCTGAACCCTTGAAACTCATTTCCTGGGTGGGCTGAGGCGTTTTGTTGTTTCCCAGCAAAAACAAAAACACACCGGCTCCTTTTTGGGCGGACTGGCCACCTTAAAAAGTGACCCAACTTTTTGCGAACCAAAATGGTCCAACCCCGACTCAAGTCCAAAACGATTTTCAGGGGGCGAGGAAAGCGGCCGCGAGCTCTCGCCGGGGTCTGCGACGGCACTCGGCGTCGAATTGGTAGCCCACCGGCGCCTGCCACGCAAATACCGGACCGACCGACCGACCGATCGGGGAAGGAGAGCATCAACTGAGGTCGAGGCTCGGCAAAAAGGGGGGTCTACCCAGATGTGCTCGATGTCTACGCAAAAGAGAGGACGACTCTTGAAATGAATGATTCGCATGCAACAGCGAGCAACTTTGTGCGTCAGGACGTCGTGTGTTGTCCCCCATAAGATTTGGGTGATGTGTCCGCCCATATTTCCTGGTGTACTAGATGGTAGTATTGAGCATTTCTCGCGCAGGCGGGAGTCTGACGGATGGTTGAAAAAGGATTCTCGCTCATACTGACGCACCTTCTATGAACGGATGTGCTGCGCACGGCACACTCACTTGCTGAGTGGATGGCCCAAAAAAAGTACAAACTTTAGATTTACCACTAAAATGGTCTTCCCAAAAAGTCTAAAGTTCATGAACTCAGGAAGTGAGCACAAGGCGGACTCTACGTGACAGACATGTGACATGACAACCAGCGAGCCTCCCGAAAAGCCGAGGGCGGAAGGATGGCAGGCGTTCGAAAGAAAGTTTCGGGGCATACGTGCCTGTTCATAATGAAGGCACCTCTCAATGTCAAGGCAACAGGGGATGGGTCTCACACAGAAACCAGTGCAAACTTGGCCACACAGCTCTAGGGGTACCTTCCCCATTCTTTCCAGGGATCCGAATCTTTCTAGAACATCTCCGGAACCCAGGGAAAACGGATCCGGTGTTTGGAAAGAACGATGGTTGAAATGTGGAATCAACCCCAAGAACAGCGCTTTTTCAGGAATCCGAGATTCAAAGTGCAAGACACACAGCCCACTCCCCAGCTTAAAAGGCTGCCGCGCCCTGACGGTGAGCACTCCAGCTTGGTCCGCTGCAGTGGACAACCTCATGCGTGCGACTGTCAAGCGATTTGGTTCACTTGGGTCCCCAAAAGCAGCCCTAGGGCTCAAGTGCAGGCAATTCAGTCTGCATTTGTTGGAACGCCTCACCACAACACACAAGAAAACCAGTGAGGCCTCGATGGAAATGTCTGCAACTCCCCGAGATGTTGTGTGAAAATACCGGGTGAGTCCTGCAATGTTGTATGTAGAGACCGCGCCGTTCAAGCCACAAGAGGCCTTTGGAGATATCCACCTTACACGCATCCCCAGTTTGAGGTGCATCGATCAATCAGCCCCAACCGCAATGTGGCAAACCAGATCGGCAAACAACTGCACCGAGCCCTGCGCTGCATCTTGAAGATGAGCTGTGTGGGACCTGGATGCGAAGGGGCGTCTTGCTCCGAAGGTGCCCTTGTTTGGTTGGTTCGAAGGGAAACCAAATGGAAAAGCACCATGTTGTGGGTTAACCCATTTTGAGACGATTCATGCAAATCTAAAGACCACAGAGAGATAAGGGCACGTCAGAAACGAAAGATTCCGATCATGAGGGGGGGGAGTTGAGGCAAGGCTTCCCCAATTTGGGACACCCAAGGCACACATTGTAGGGGTGATTCTGAATGGACTTCGAAGGGACACCAGCCATGTTGGTGGTTCCATGCATGAAAGTGTCCCTGAACAAGGGATCCGCTTGTGGAATGTGCGGATCCGCCTATCGCTTGTCTGAAAGGGCAAACTGCTCTGGTTTTTCTTTCTCTTGAGAGGAGCCTATCGGAAGCCATCCACGTTGAAAAGCAGGAGCCGTTTTTTGGTCGATCCTACCTGGCCTGGCAAGATCGGCCGCCCCATTTTAGGGCGCGGTCCTCCTTTCGCGACCCTCCCGCGAACGCGTCTGCAAATTGAGGGAGCCCGGTTTGGAATTTGTCGAGCCGTTGGGCACCCGGGTTTCGGTGAAAGACAAACGTTCAGGAACACCGGGCTGGGCACATCCGCCCTTTTGGTACATGGAAACAAAGGAAGGCACCCCCCTGGCGGGTTGCCTCTCCGAACATTCCAGGTTTCAAGGCAATGGTGACCTTCGGCCTGCCAAGTCTGACCTGCCTTCCTGCCGCAAAAGCGCTGTTTTGCTGGCACATAAGCCTCTAGACCCTCCAAAATCCGCTTGGAAATGCCCATATAGACCAGTATACCCCCCAAATTCCATATGAAAATAATGCCCATCTAAACCAGTATACCCCCAAATTCCATATGAAAATGCCCATGTGAAAGCAGACCAGAGCGCTCCGTCCCTCTCAGAGCTCCACGATTTGGCCGGTCATCTCGATAACCCCTGCAGGCGAGCGAGAGGCACCGCGATGGCTGGATGGCTGGGGGGGCTGCCTAAACCCGAAGCAAACTGCTTCAGCTGAGCCAGCATGGCTTCCTTTTTCCTTTTTGCTTCGTCACGCGACCGGCCCCTCTGGGTCCGTCTCAGAAGTGGCACAGAAAAGTCAAACAGCGATGTCAGAGGATCGGACTGCGTCCTCTGTGATCTCTGTCTCTGACGGGAAAGCTGTCACAAGCAGCTGTGGATGGACGAAATCCATTTCGCACCACCTAAGAGACCCTGGCATGATGATTCCCCTGGTTTACACCAACAAACGTTATGGTTTCAACCATGGCTCCAAAGTGAGTATGGCTCTCTTTCATCTGCGAGGCTTATGAAGCTACTCAGACGGAGAAGGGCCCGGAGTCCGGGACCCAACGGTTCTGTGAAACGAGGGATTGCGCTAAGGTCAAGCGTGCCGAAACCACCAAACACCCCCCCTTATCCCGATGAGAAAAAAGGTGGGTTTCTGCAACTCGGGGAACTTTCGGCTTCCCTACGCCACTCAAAACAAGCCTTGGAGACCTCTGGGACCTCGAACTCCACCATCCAACTCGTTGCCCTTCTTCGGGGACCAAAGCTGGGCTCGTTCCCACATTCCCTGAGCACCGGAAGGAGAAACGGAATGACCCGAAGCCTCCAACCCATAGTTTCCTTTCCGGGAATCCCCCCAAAAAAAAGAAGGCGTTCATTCCACCCACTTCCCTCTCGCGCCCCCCGGCGCAAAGGACTTCTTTCCACCGGCTCGACTCCGACGCCGGGAATTCCCTCGCGCGCCAAGGTGCAAAGGACTCGTTTCCGCCGAGTCCGGAGCCAAGGACTCGGTCCGATTCGACGCCGATTCCGGCTAATCCCCCAGACTTTTTCATTCAACCCAACTTCCCCGCGGAAAGGACTTGGTTGAAGGATCCAAGGGCCTCGGGGGGTAGAACTGCCAGTGCTCGAAGTCGCAGAAGGTCTCCGGCAGCGTGGCATCGATGGCGCGCTCCTCGCGGAGCGGCTGGAGCGGCCGGCTGGAGGTCCATCTATTCGCTGCAAAGACCGGGGGTTTAAAAATACCCCCAAAAAGAAACAAGAGGTGTAGTTTAGGGTTATAGAAATGCTTTCTGGGGAATATACTGGATGTGGAATATATATATATACATATGTATGCTCACCCCCCCCCCCCCCTCCCCACCCTACCTTTCCTACCTTTCCAATACCATAGCTCACCCCCCCCCCCGGCCGACCTTCGCACTACCATAGCTCACCCCCCCCCCCAACGCCTACCCTTCCACTTCAAAATGCACAAAATCCTCTCAGGCATCTGCAAGAACGAGGCACACAGAGTAGAGTTGACACCTTCAACTAAAAGAGAGGAAACGGGAGGCCCTAAAAAGGGGGTATACATACAAGTTTCACCCTCTCCAAATGGGGAGTCGGTTCCCAATGTTTACGGCGTCTCAAAATGGAAAAGCGAAGCTTGACAGCGAAGAACCCCTGGGCAGGTGGAAATGGAATGCAAACTACAAAAGCCAAAAGGGGGCCCTTCTTAGCTTAGTGTTTGTTGGCCGGAAATTAAGTTTTTCTTGGACACCAAAACAAGAACAAACCTATGTGGTCTGAAAGAGATACACGCGGGTCTTTGCCTTCTGCATGTCGCTCGTTCTGCGACTTTCTGCCCCGGGCTATTTCTTGATGAGCTTTATGAAGGGTACGATAACCTTGTTCATGTATCGAACATGGGGACGGCGAAATTCAAGTTTCGATGGATGAATGAGGAAGCATTCTCAGATTTGCTCAACTGAGATCTGTTCAACTGCGCCGAGGGTTGATGCCCCATTCTTCACCCCCGCTCCCACCAGAAACACAAGGCTGTGATTCGCAAGTGTGCGAAACCCAGCCGAATCTCCAAATACAACACACATGCTTGGAAGAAGTCTGCCCCGGGTCCCATCTTTTCTCCTCTAGGGTGATGAAGTCACAGTCCACCCTGGGCCACATCACCAGGCCTGCGGACACCTTGGCCATGCCGAGCCCGGTGCCCCAAAAGCTTGTTTTGAAATCACCAAGGCTTGGTGCTCAAGACGAAACCAGCTTGGTGTCTCAGGCATGTCAGTAGCCAAGAAGGCAACCCTTTGTTGCTGGAGGCCCCCCTTTTGCTGCTTGCTCTTGAAGGGACACCCACTAAACGAAAGTGCCGCTTTGAGTATCTTTACGTATGTCTATATATATATATATATATGCTCACCCCCCCCCCATGATCCACATTTGGCATTGCTGCAGTGTATGGTCTCAGCTTTGGCTCCTTAATTTGAATGGCTGAAGTACTCTTAGCCCGTCTCCCAATGGAGGCTGTTAAAATAATAACAGCCATGGCAACGAGCGCCACGCCGAGCCCTATCGCTCCATCCAGATGGCCTACAAAAGTAGGTTATCTACCATGTGGCTACTTGGCCGATTTCATCGAGTCGAAAACTGCAGTTTCTTATGGGGTCCTTCTGCTGTCATTTCTGCTCTTGCCCATCTAAGGATCGGAAGTGTTCAGCTTCGAAGGCTTGCACTTCAAGATCAGCGCGAGCGAGGAGACCGTCCTCCAAGAGAATGAACTTGGCTTGATTATGAGTGAGAGGCATTTGCCATAGTTTTTTATGGGACAGTCCTTAAGACTGCTTTTACTCTCTCAGTTTTCCAAGCCGCAAGGAAAAAAAGCCTGCTGACCATGTACGCCTGAGTCTGCTTGCATATCAAGCTCATTAAGTTTCCTTGTGCTATACTGCATCCATTGCAAAGCTGGGCAACTTTCTGATATTCCAACCCCATGATCCATATTTGGTATTGCTGCAGTGTGTGGTCTCAGCTCTGGCTCCTTAGTTTGACCCCGCAGTGTGTAACTAATGGCTGAAGTACTATTAGCCCAACTCCCAATGGAGGCTATTAACATACTGCTTGCATCTCAAGCTCATCAAACTTCCGTGTACTCTGCTGCAGCCATTTCAATTTGAGGTAACTTCCTGATACTCCCTTCTGCTCCAATCATGGCATCTGTGCCTCCTCATCGTGCTGAGTCGCTGATCCACATTTTGCCTCTTGCAAGCAAAAAACACTGGAAAAACACATGTAAAATGCTTGTTTTTGACCACCTGTTCCAGGATCAGATTCTGATCCTGGAAACTTGGGTCAAAAACAAGCATCATTCTTGATGAGTAGATTAGTCAAAGATTGCGACATTCTTGATGGACAGATGTTAGGCAACTTGAAGCAGATGCTTACAGATGGTTTGTGTGGACAGCCTTCTGGAAAAAAAGTTAGCAGGGAGCAGATGGAACTTATGGAAGCAGCATGCAGAAAGTGCTGTACTGTCCCTAAAATCCAGGCTTTGGAGGCTGAAAGTGCTGTACTGTCCCTAAAAAACCTAAAAAACCATTCCAAAAACAGTCTTGGGCACACAAACCTCCTTCTGGCAAGGAATTTTTGGTTTTTTAGGGACAGTACAGCACTTTTTTTGGTTTTTTAGGGACAGTACAGCACTTTTTTTGTTTTTTAGGGACAGTACAGCACTTTTTTAGTTTTTTAGGGACAGTACAGCACTTTTTTTGGTTTTTTAGGGACAGTACAGCACTTTTTTGGTTTTTTAGGGACAGTACAGCACTTTTGAGCATCAGCATGCACAAATTGCTGTCCCTAAAATCCAGGCTTTGGAGGCTGAAAGTGCTGTACTGTACCTAAAAAACCTAAAAAACCATTCCAAAAACAGTCTTGGGCACACAAGCCGCCTTCTGGCAAGGAATTTTTGATTTTTTAGGGACAGTACAGTTTTTTAGGGACAGTACAGCACTTTTGAGCATCAGCATGCAGAAAGTGCTGTACTGTCCCTAAAATCCAGGCTTTGGAGGCTGAAAGTGCTGTACTGTCCCTAAAAAACCTAAAAAACATTCCAAAAACAGTCTTGAGCACACAAACCTCCTTCTGGCAATGATTTTTTGGTTTTTTAGGGACAGTACAGCACTTTTTTTGGTTTTTTAGGGACAGTACAGCACTTTTTGCATGCTGATGCTCAAAAGTGCTGTACCTTGCCAGAAGGAGGTTTGTGTGCCCAAGACTGTTTTTGGAATGGTTTTTGGGACAGTACAGCACTTTCAGCCTCCAAAGCCTGGATTTTAGGGACAGTACAGCACTTTCTGCATGCTGCTTCCATAAGTTCCATCTGCTCCCTGCTAACTTTTTTTCCAGAAGGTTGTCCACACAAACCATCTGTAAGCATCTGCATCTGTCCATCAAGAATGTCGCAATCTTTGACTAATCTACTCATCAAGAATGATGCTTGTTTTTGACCCAAGTTTCCAGGATCAGAATCTGATCCTGGAACAGGTGGTCAAAAACAAGCATTTTACATGTGTTTTTCCAGTGTTTTTTGCTTGCAAGAGGCAAAATGTGGATCATGGGGGGGGGTGACCATATATATATATATATATATATATATATCGATCTTTCGATCTGTATATGTCTGTCTGTCAAGCTGCTACCCAGCTGCCTAGTTGCCTACCCATCTATCGATCTATCTATGAATCTGTATGTCTATCTGTTTATCAATCTGTCTGATCTGTCTACCTAGCTTGCTGGCCATCTACCGGTCTACTCTGTGATACAGCCAAAGGCCTAGGGCCTACCTGCCTGAAGGGCTGGCGCCCACCGCCGACCACCGCCGCCCACCGCCAACCACGCACTGACCACGTGTAGAGTTTTTGCGCTTTGCCAAGCATGCTAAGGGGCGAAGGATGTGCGGATTTGTTTAGCCGATGTTTGAGGATTTTTGTAGCACTTCCTCGCGGAATCGAAAAAAGGGCATCTTTTGGGGGGTGCCCATAGTGGACAGCATTACCTGCATCATCAAGTGATTAGGGGATGTTGTCCGGACATGTGGGGAAATGATGGAAACTGATGGAAGCGTGATGGAAATGAATGGGAAATGTATGGAAAATGGATGGAAAATGGATGGACAACGGATGGAACATTTTCGAATAAATGGAAAAGGGATGGAGCAAAGCTGGAAATTGTGGGTGCAAAATGAATGGAAAGATATGGAAAATGGATGGCCCATCCATGGAAGATGGATGGGCACTTGACGGAACAGTGATGGACAATTGACGGAACATGATAAAATGCGTGGATGGAAAGCTGATGGAACGTGGATCGCCGGAGAAAATGGAGAGGAAGATGGGTGAAGGGATGGATGGAAAACGGAGCCTGGATGGAAAGTTGATGGCAAATGGGCGGTGAATTGATGGACAATTGGCATCGTCTGCATGCCCAGCGCCTTTGGCGCATCATCACCGCGACCATTGGAGCTCGAGTTGGGGGAAGGGTCAAAACACTGCCCATACGCAGCAACCCGGCTACATCCAGCATCGCCAGCCTTTCGGAAGCACCTGTGATTCGCGCATCGCCTGCATCCCTTGCATCGCACACACGCACTTGTGCAACCGCCCATCTAGCCATCCATCCACCCATCCACCCATCCACCCATCCACACGTCCACACGTCCACCCATCCACCCATCCACCCATCCATCCACTCACCATCCATCCAGCTATCCACCATCGATCGCGCACGGTTCGGTTTTTCCTAAAGGACTTTCCCTGGCACATGAGGCCGGTGCGTGGAGCGTGAAAATCTAATCCAATCTAATCTAATGATATCCATCTATCCATCTATCTATCTATCTATCTATCTATCTATCTATCTATTAATCTACTCTACTCTACTCTACTCCTAATCTAATCTAATCTATCTATCTAATGTCCTGTCTATCTAATGTCCTGTCTATCTATCTAACGTCTTATCTATATTGTGTATCTTATCTATTCTTACCTGATCTTATCTTGTCTAATCTTATCTATGTGTCTGGCCCCTGCGATGATTCAGCCATCAATTTTCTGAAAATGACGCTTGCTTCCCCTTTGGATGCTATGCTGGAAAATGGTACTGGGACCCGCCGATAAACAAAGCTAGGGGAAGGGGGGCTGTCCCCTTTTAGTGGGGAAGCATCACTTGTGGAGGGCATGAATGAGATTGAGGCGCACGAAACCTCCCGAAGCCAAAAACTCACTATAACTCTCCCACAAGTCACTAGGGGCTCGCCAACTTTGCGTGTCTTAAACTCGCCCCCAACCCCAAAAGGAACCCCGAAAAGGGCACCCAACGTCAGCCAAAACAATAGCGCGGTCCAGGTTTGGCAAGGGCTGCGTGCGTCTGTCTAACAAATTATCTATATGAATTCCCCGTGTAAGGGGGTTGGCAAACATCCCTCTCACGCCAAAAGTTGGTGTTTCGTTGCCCTTCACTACCCCCTCATCAGAAATGTTTCAAACACCCCATCAGGGCAGACATGTCTGGACCACAGATCACAACGCCACATGGCTTTGTTTTGAGCCTTGGACTCCCAATTCTCTTGGCCTGCGCCCAAACAAACACCGACAAACTCCGCCACCTCCGCCTTCTGACTGCCGCCTGGGTGGGGTTTTCGGCACAAGCGAGCACGAAGCATGCCCTTCGAGCCCGCCATAGGGGCCCCGGGCCATTTCACGGGCCACTGCGTACCCGGGCACCGTGGTGTTCTGGTCCAGCACGATCTGCTCGCTGATCTCGGCGCGGGCGCCGCAGTCGGCGAGTTGTCTTTGCTTTGGGGAAAAACCCTGCCGGTGAATGGAACGACTTGGGGGTAAGAACATGGCTCTCCAGGTCCACTAAGATGGAACTCACCAGTCCAGGAGCCTTTTGTGAGGTATGTCAGGAGATGGTCGTCCATTTTTCAAGGGCGACGGCATTCTCAAATGTCCGAGTTGCGGGGGTGCCAAGCCCAAACTCCTCATGTTCACCCCGCTCTCCGGCCTTGATTCAAACCGTTCACTCTGATTTGTTCCCGTCTTCCCCACCTTTTCTGCCGCGCTTTGTTGTTCATTCATGGTGTCTCCAACTGCCGCTTCTCCAACTGGGCCCCCCTAGCCAGGCTGTAAGACAGCAGCGTCCACATGCCCGCGTCCACCAGGGCCACTGCCTCCGATTCAATTTCCGAGGGGGGTGCCGACTCGCTGGGGTTCACGAGAGCGGGACGCTGTGAGCCTGCGCTTTTCTTCAGTTTTTGAGTCGAAACTCGAATTGAACTATGTTTGCATGATGTGTGTTTAAATGTCAGCTGAATTTTAAAGAAATTTGGTTGCAAAAAAAACATACTGTGTAAACTATCGACTAAAATAGACTTATTCTAATTCGAATTCTATAATAAAACGGAAGTTGTGATTGGATTCATTCCTTATCAAAGTACGTTCAAACTTCAAACTCTAATTTAATTGCAATGTTCTATTAGGAAAGGGTTTACATCTAAATTCTAAACGTAAGATGTAATTTCCAATCAAGTATTTCCTGATCGAGTCCTATTTAAATCCTATTCAAACTCACACTGAATTTTATACTAAAAGCGCTACAAAACACAGTGTTTTACCGTGTTTTCTAACCGAGGTAGTTCTTGGGCTAGTAAACACAACAAAAACAACTTTAGGACCTCTGAATTATCTGCTTCTGAAATCTACTTAATATCTACACCAAATTCTACCCAATGTCTAACTGAAATTAACTAGGCATTATTTAGGAAAGACTCCAATCAAATTGTATAGCTTAAGTTAGATTCTCAATTATGATTAATCTATTTCAACATAAATGTTACACGGGAATTCCTTTTCCAATAGAATTGTTCTTACAGATCAGTAAGCATCTAAGCAACATGTAGTAAACATGTTCGGAACCTCTAAGTTCTTTCCTTACGAATTCTACTCAATATATTTATCAAGTTCTACATAAGTTCTATCTCACATTAAATAGAATATAACAAGGAAATAATCCAAACATAAGATTTGGTTTAAAGTAGAACTTAAATCATGTTTTGTTCTATTTCAAAATGGATGCTGCACAGGATTTCCTGTCCAATAGAATTGTCTTTGCAAATTAGGAGGCATTTGAACAGCCTAAAAAATTTTGGGACCTCTAACTTCTTTTCTGAACTCTACTTATTATATTTATCAAGCTCTACTTACTTCATATCTCACATATGATCACAGAAGCTCAGAAGATCACACAGAAGATCTACTTGGATGTGAACTACACCAGCGCGCAGAAGATCACAGAAGCTCTTGCAAACAGGCCGGAAACGGTAAAGTACAAAAAACAACTCGACCCTCAAGTCAGGACAGCTGACAGAGTCTTATTGTTTGTTGGCTTTCTCGAGTTTTTTGTGTTTTTGGGAAAAGTGTGAAAACCTTGAGAAAGAAACAAAACAAAACACACACTACAACCAAGAAAACCCCACCCTCCACCCACCCACCCCCGCTCCCCAAAGCCAGGACATGTGACATAGTATTGTTGTTTCTTTTAGTTTTCTCGAGGTTTTTTTGTGTTTTTTGGGAAACGAACATATCGTGCTTTAAAAAACAAAAAAAAGAAGAGAAAGAAAAAGAACAGCGCACGCTCAGGGTGTCCTGTTCTGGAAAAAAAAAACACGGTTCTTGGCGGTCCAGTTCCCCAAAACCATTAGCTCCTCGAAAAAAAATGCCGCGTTGACAGGTCTTCAGCTAGGAAGGTGTTTAATGGCCTGTCTCCCTCAATGAGAGACCCCCCTCGAAAAAAGGAAGTGGTTCTTCACCTTAGCAACTTAAAATATGCCGCAAACAGTCGCAACGGCACGACCCAAGTCAAAGGCTTGCTGCGTTTCTGGCTCATCTTCGCATGCCTTGGCAATCCCAGATCTTTGAAGGTTAAGCCTTTCGGCAAAACTCCTGAAAATAGGCTCCCTTAATAGGAATCGGATGGACGGAATCTGTTCGCCCCACTTTCAGACCACGGTTGAAACTATGGTTTGTTGGTATTTACAGGCGAATCCTCATCCAGGGTTTCTTAGGTGGTGCAAAATGTTGTCCATCCACAGTAGTTCTCAAGGCCTTGTCAGCTCAGGTGGATGACCATCCCGATTTCAACCCACCAAAAAACGGTCTTTCGACCACATAGCGACCCTTTCCGGGAACCACCTTCAGTAGCATGACCGTCCCGTTTCGGGACAAGGGTCTGGTCAAAAGGGTCGGCGACCCGTCTTCGGTGGCCCCACTTTCATCCGTCAGGTGTGAGGGGAGATTGATGAAGAGTCTCGGGGAAGCTCTTGGCGAAACAAAACTCTAAGAAGCACTGGGCGAACCATCTTTTTGTATGAGCCTATGTCCCCCCTGCCTTGCGGAGGGGTGGGGGGTCCCCCAATTCCATTGATCTAGTCTTCCCCCATAAAATGGAAAATGGCTGTGGCTCAATATTCAACAGCTTGGGTTACGCACATTGTAGTCTTTGGTTCCATTTACCAAGGTGCCGTTTTTTGTACATTTATTTGAGCCACAGCCAAATGGGGATGTCACAAATGGAAGATCTCCAAGGGTCGAACTCCCTCCCCCAATTCCACTTAAGAACGTGAGCCCCTTCGCCTGTGGCGGGTTCTGCGCGGCCAAGGAAAACCTGAGCCACACGGCCGCTGGGCAACGAGCCGGCGTGCCACGAACGTTTCGCGCGGCCCCGTTTTCGGATGCCCCGCTGAAGGTCGGAAAATTCTTTCTGGGTTAAATGGGACCCAGCCACTAAACCAACTAAGAAGCTAAGAAGCCAAGGCCGGGAACCACCCAGGAATTGGGCACGATTTGGCCAAATCTGGGGCTGAGGTTGAGCAACTCTCGGCTCTTGACCATTCTTTTGATAACTTGGGATTCCGGACAAGGAACGGAGGTTCCGCTTAGGTAAATTCTAACCTTGTTAGGCTCTGACACGGGTCCTCCGAATTCCAAACATCACATGTGCCATGCGATCACCTTGCAGCAAGACGACAAGCCTTTGCGTGTGGACCAGATCAACGCCGATCACGAGCAGACTTGGAGCCCCTTGTTTGGAATACTGCCACGTTCTGCCCCCAATACTGTGAATGGACACAGTCCTGCACTACTTGGGATGGATGAACCCCTATGTGTCCGGAATATGTCCATCCATGCGTCCATGCGTCGATGAGAAAAAGAAATGTCTGTGGCCGGCCATTTCTCAAAATGGACCAATGCCCGCCACAGCTAGCCGCTTCTCCCTGATGCACGCCGTACCAGACGAAGTGGATCCATTTACCTGTATAGTAGGTAACTAAGGGAACCACTCTTTACAAATCCAACAGAAAATAGCTGGTTGCCTGCTATCTGGGAAAATGCGATCCACTGGGAGAGTGGACACGGAGGGCGTACTTTGCAGCCATCATTCGGACATTGGAGGATAAACTTGCGTAGCAAAAGGCCTGGCTCCCGAGGTACGTCTGGTCTTCTTGCACTTAATCTATTGCTTGTTCTTCTTATTCTGTATTTATTTCTTGTTGTCTGAACCATCTTTACCATCTGTTGTTTACTTTTCTTCTTGCGGCGTCCATAGCCTGAGGAACCCCGTCCCAAACGGATGTCCCCAGCACGCCGCGCATTGCGAGCCGGGCAGCTGGTAGTACAGCGCAGGGATCCCCGTGGGGCCCGCAATCAGCTCGATCTGCGCAGCGAGCGGCACCCAAATGGCACCGGTTGGACTCGAGGAGCGCCAAAAACCACATGGGTATGGGTCAAAATTAAGCCACCAGGATATGGGCCGCATATTTTAGTCCATGCTTCCATTTGCCAGGGCTCCATTTTGGCTACATATGTTTGACCCACAACCACATTGGCCACCTTGCCAGCAGCTTGATTCTTGATTGCACTGGTTGTAGTTGCCCTCCTGGTGTGAATCAGGAAGCCTCAACGCCTGTCATTGCCTGTCGCCTGTCGTCGGTGCATGACGCTTGCAACCAACTTTTGGTCAGATCAATTCCCGAGTTCGTCAAGGATTCTCATGGTTACCCTTCTTTCCCTGAAGTCCAAGAACCTTTCCACACGGTCGTAATCAAATTGTGGCATTGAAGGAGTCTACCACAAACTCAACTAGAACCTCCAGTAGAGAGGTTAGAATAAGGGTACCAACTTTTTTCTGTAGTCTATTTTAGTAGGGGAACCCTCCCAACCAAAAAAGGGTGAGAAAGGGCACTACTGGGGGACCGTGTCAAAGAAGAGAGCGGCTAGAACATAGGTGTCCATTTTGGGAAAATAGATGGCGCTGGTAGTTGATTGAGGAATCGCCCTCTATTTTTAAACCAAATCAACCAAAAAGGACACCTATGGGCTTGAATTTCTGATTGGCTCACGCTCCCCCTGTTTTTTGTCACGCGTTTTGTTCCACTTTCGCCTTGGGCTCCCCGGTGGAAGTGATCGCCGCGTAGAGGCAGGTGGAGTCATATGGGAGCTCCTGTACGCGATCCGAGACACCACCTTAATACATACAATTATTATATGGCCATGGGTCAAAATCCCGAACCCCCAGTGAAATTCCCAATCCCCGCTAAAAAAGACTAAAATGCGTGGTGCACAAAATGGTACCATTGGTTTTGACCCACAGCCATGTATATATACATATATTATATATGCAAATTTTGCACCGGTGTTGATGGTTCCACCATGAACCGTTCTGCAAGCAAACTTGGCCCCTTAAGAGCAACATTCTGGGCTGTCCGTTTTCGGATGCCTTGCTAAAAGTCGAACACTTTTAGTGGGCTAGATAGAAACTACCACTAAGCCCAAAAAACATAAAGACCTACAAGCATGGCTGGGAACCGCCAAGCATTGGAAGGAAAGATGGGAAGCACAGTGGATGCCGGTGTCCAACTGGCCCCCACCTGAATACCCTTCCCAGGCTGGGAATGGCCACCAAAGGGGAGAAGAAACTCGCACGCTTCAAAGCAAAGCAAAAGTCAGTGGGGCGGTAAGTGGCGATTCACGCGACCAGCTGCAATACACCAACGGTCCAAGCCATGGGGCGTGGCTTTCCGCATGTGAATGTGGCAAAACAATCGTTTCATGTCAACAACCAAGAAACTGCCGAAAAGGGCTGCCTAGTGTTGGACACATACTCAAGTGCAAACCGCGATACTTGTTCGATCCTTTCAATGGGAATCTTCTCTTCACAACCCTTGGTATGGGAAAAACGTTAAAGCTTTTGCAGCCTCAAACCTAGAAATGAACAAAACCAAGAAACAAAAAGATGCCAAATGCAAAAACACAAACAACAACCAAACAGGCAAAACCAAAAACAACTGGCCAACAGCGAAGTTCTGATCGACAATCTGGGGAGATGGCTCCAAGGCATTGAGCAACCGTGTTCCTGTGATCCCCTGTGCGTATATAGCTAGAAACCAGTACCCGTATAGATCTACATTTATCTTATACATGCCAATGTCTGGCTATGTATACATACATTTGCATATATATATATAGAGACGCACTATTATATATATATGTATGTACAGGACGTGTTTTGTTAACTAGTTACTCGCATTGTGAAATGGTTTATTTGCACTATTTGTTGTTAGTCAGCTGTCTGGCTGGTTAGTTGGTTGGTTGGTTGGTTGGTTGGTTGGTTGGTTGGTTGGTTGGTTGGTTGGTTGGTGCCTAGTTAGTTAGTTCGTTAACTAGCTAGTGAGTTAGCTAGTTCCATAGTTTCTTAGCTAGTTAGCTAGTTAGTTAGCTATGTTATTTGTGTGTATGCTTGTGTGTGTGTGTGTTTGTTTGTTTGTTTGTTTGTTTGCTTGCTTGCTTGCTTGCTTGTTAGTTAGATAGTTTGTTTGTTTGTTTGTTTGTTTGCTTGTTTGTTTGTTTCTTTGTTTCGTTGTTTGTTTTTGTTTGTTTCTTTGTTTGTTTCTTTGTTTGTTTGTTGGATTGTTTGTTTGTTTGTTTGTTTGTTGGTTTGTTTGTTTGTTTGTTTGTTTGTTTGTTTGTTTGTTTGTTTGTTTGTTTGTTTGTTTGTTTGTCTATTTAGCGTCTACCTATCTATTTACTTCTTCGCCCCAAAAAACGATTTTCAAGCGAATGTCTCGCACGCTCTGCTCAATGCTATGAACCACCCAACAAGCTGACAAGCAACAAATCAACCAATAAACAGTTTCACAATCAAAGTAACTAGTTTACTAAACAAACTATGTATATATATATATATACATAACCAGTCAAAGAAGACGTGGCCATTCCCCCCCCCCCCAACGTCACATCAATCCTGCACACAATCAAAGTGGACATTCGCATCCCACACCCCCCTGTTTTCTATTCCCTTATCCCCCCACCCAAACCCTGCAAAAGCATGTATTATTGCAGCCCCGATCAACTGTTACTATGTATATATATATATATATGTATATACGTATATATGCACATACAAATATATATACACACACACGCGTGCATATGTATTTCCATAAATATGTAGATATATATATATATATATATACATAAATATGTGTGTATCTATGTATATATATACATATACATACAAATTTATATAATATATATATATGGGTACATGTGTTGTCTATGAATCCATAGTATGTTCATCGTAGGCGATGTCTGTGCTCTCGCTCGCGCTCTTCCCAACTCATGCCACGGATTTCAAGGTCTCGCTCGAAGGAAACCGCCGAACGATCCAAGGGCGTCTTTTTGTAGGAACCGGACCCCCAACATCGATCTCAGTTTTCCTTTTGGTTCCCCTTTGAAACGCGAAAAAAAGAAGAAGAAGAATGAGAGCACCCAAAAAAAAGATACACCCAAAAAAACGCCAGACAAATAGGTTGTACCAACTCAACAAAAACAGACACATCCAAATAAAAACACAAGAAAAATGAAGAAAGAGCGAGGAGAGACTTCCACCTCGAGCCCCGCTTCAAACCTCCCCTCTCCCCGCCCTGCCCCCCTCTCTCCGGGAAGTTTGTGGCGGGCTTCGGCTGGCACCGGGTCTGGAACAGGAAGTTTGGAGGCCTCATCTCGGTCTCCCGAAAACGCGGCTTGCGACCGCGCGGGTCTTCGATCAAGGCAAAAGAGGCGCCATAACACCCCGGGTTTTCAACTCTTAAGGCCTTCATAGTCGAGGTGAGCCTCAAAAGTGTAAGTGTCCCATTGTTCCCATAGGTGCAGGGTTGTGGGATGGGCGTTTGGATCTTGGACACTGGGATTAAGAATCCCGTCGCATTCTTGAAGACAAAGTACATGTCCAGGGTTATTTCGGATCATACCAAAAACGATGGAGGGGGGTTGATCTAACCACTTCTGTGATACGTTTGGGAATCTCCCCTTGAAAAAAGAGGGGGTTCGTCTTTGGGAAGCCCTTTCTGTTGCATCACAGGAGTGGATTCCATTTCCAACAGCCCCGCAAAAAGGGCATCTAGTCAAAGGATCGAACGAGGCAATCTACCCTCTTCCCAATCATGGAGGTGAACTGGGAGGTTCCCCGAAAGGAAAACAGAGGTCCAAAACCCTCTGATCTTCAGCTTCCATGATTGTTGGAGGGTGGGTGAAAAGGGTTGAAATGCTTGAACACTGGATTTTGTTCATGCAACACACAAGGCAAGACGCCTTTTCCGAATGAGAGCATGCCGTCTACTAGTGAATCCTGTGCACTCGCCTGACAACATGTATGTATATGTATATATATATATACATATACATATCACTGTCATCTCACTGTGAAAAGCACGCCTGGGAATACGCTGTTGGATATCAGGAGAAGTGGGCATGTCTCAATTATTAGGGAGTCCGAGCGGTTGCTTGTTGGCATTTGGCTGTGGGTCAAAATCTCGTACCCCCGGTGAACATCCCAATCCCCACTAAAATAGACTAAAATGGGTGGTGCACCTACCCCAAATGGTACCATTGGTTTTGACCCACAGCCGTTTGTTTTCTTAGGTTTTGAGGCAGACCTTGATGGGCTTCCCAAGATCAGACCCAGCTGGCTGAGCTGTCGCTAAGCGCAGCCCCGCTATTTTCAACTGCACAACCCTTGGTGTGGGCTCGCAGACAACTCCTTCTTTTTGCAGCCCCCTACCAAAAATGAACAGGATAAATATTTATTTGAAAAAAAAAGAGAAAACAAAGAACCGTGAAGTGAATATCCAGTATCCCACCTGGCATGCTGACATCCTCCATAGCCATCTACGGCATCTTGGACCCGGGCCCAATGACCACCAGCCCACCTCCTTCCGGGATGTTCCTGAACCAAGGCTCGCAAGCAGAGCGCAGCGCCAGCTGTTGGGCTGTTTGGTTGTTGGGGGCTGCTGGGCTGCTGGGCTGTTGTCTTGTTGACTTGGGTTGTTCCTCTTTAGACAGGGATACATTATACACCTGAACATTGCCTTGTAAATGGTGGTTTCCCTTTATTTTGGTGGAAAAAGCCATGTTTCAAATGGGCGAAATGCATTTTTAAAGGAACCCTATTAGTGTGTTGGGTTGGGCTGTGGATGGAACCCCTTCGAAAACCCCCGGAAAGATCAAAGAAACCACATCGCCCATGTCAAGCACATTGAACTTAGACCAAAACTTAGGCTCTATCTCTGTGGAGGTCAAAACCGGCCAAAAGTCATGTAACAAACCATGTTCAATGATTGAACTGCACCGGACTTGACCCGGCTTGCCGCAGTCAAGGCTGAGTCAAACAACCCGTAAGGCAGGCGCGTAATGGTGCGGACGCTGAAGGTGATGTCCACCGCCATGTTCATGATGCTGGTGGTGTAAGTGATGGCCTGAGCCCACTGGCGCCGTGTCAACTTCGTGCTGCTGCGATAGGTGTGGGAATGTGATATGGAATGAACACAGTTGCTTTGGTCTCCGAATAAAGGATTCGACTTCTCCTTCCCTGCTAAGCGACAGCAAGCAAGTGTCAAGGTCGTCTGCGCTGACCATCTCCCTGGAGTTTGGTCGCATGGGGCGTCAAGTGAAAGCAACGCAGCGCTGCATACATGCGTTAGCAGCTCCAAGCTGCCCTGAAGCTGCAATCTTTGTGGCTTCTTGTTTCACCCACGGAAATGACGAACGTACCTATTTTGTTGGATACTTCCCCTGTTACCCTGCTTGTTGTCCGGCTTCCAGGCATTGATAAATGACAGATCTCGACCCCGCATGGTGCACAATTAGGGTCTATTTTCAAACCTCTCTCTGCTAGGGTATCAAGTTTTTTTCAGGTTCTTGGCTGCAACACATCCTTCATGCCCCGACCCCCGCACGCGCCCCTCCGACCCCGCCAACACCTCCCCCCACCCAGCCCACCCAGCCCACCGCCAGCCCCGAGGCTTCTGCGCCGTTGATGAGGCGCTGGACCACCGGCGCCTCGGTGGTGCCCGCCTCCAGGCGGTTCGCCAAGAGGTCCTCGATGGATCAGTCCGATCGTCGATCCGAGCGCGCGGTGGTCGGCGGAAGAAAGGGCTGAGGAGATCCCAGATGAACACGGGAGGGAGCGGGGGGAGGGGAGGGGAGGATCGGGGGAAGGGGAGGGGGCGAGGGAGGGAGGGGGAAGGGAGGGCACCAAAGAGTTGCATCCCTTTCAGCTAAACGAAGGGAGATTGAAGAAAGATGCCCTCGTTTGAAAGATCTTGGAGAGGCTGCCATCCTGTGGAAACGGCCCCAAACCTCAACTTCACCGTTGCAAATCGAAAGGAAGATTGACATCCAAATGAGACAAGCTGCTCGAGTGGCAAAGCAACAGGGAGACAGCTCTGCTCAGCTCGCACCAATGATTGAGAAACGCCGGAACCCATCTGAATACCTTCATGGTCAGATTCCTCCAAGACGGGCGCAAAGCTCCAGAGTACCCTCCCCCAGACTAGCATGGAAGCTCCCAGGACCCCTTTGGAAGACTTGGTTCCATCTGCAAAGGCATTCCGGGAGCTTCCGGCTGCTAGTCTCAGGGAGTGTAAGATCAGCATGCTGATGCTACCATCGCGGGCTCAAGGCCTCAAATTGTGGGAGTACCTCTAAAAGGAACGAACCGGAATTGGAGACCTGTTTTTTTTTTTCACGACCTTCTGGATAAACCAGAACGGAAACCCGCCAGTCCTAGATGTCCAAAAAAAGGTAAGGGGGAGGACGCACCATGGATGTTTCTATGGGAATTGGTCCAGTTCCTATAGCAAGGGCACACCTGGGTAATTCTCCAAATCTCACTTCCTAGGTGGCAAGTCCAAAAGAAGTAACCAAACTTGAAAAAAATACCACTAGAATAGTCGTCCCAAATCAAAAACCCAATTCCAAGAACTCAGGAAGTGGTCCAATTCCTTCGCACCTATACCCCCGACAGCCCGGATGCGACAGACCGAATTGGTGTGATGGGCTTCGCAACCCCTGGGCTGTCCGCGTTCAGCGGCTAACAGTGAGCAACTTTTGGGTGAAATTCGGAAGCCCAACCACTAGAGCAACCAAAAACCCGCCAAGAACCTAAGGAACCGGATGGCTGGGAACCGCCACCAAGCCGCCGGGACGTTTCTTCAAAAGCCGCCTCTCCCCCCAGCCACGCGCCTCGTTGTACCCGAACTCGATGGTGAACTGATTGGCCGAGCCGGTGGGAGGCACCTCGGATCAGAGCTGAGGTTCCGATTTTCGAGGCCTTCCGTGACTTTGGAGACAGCTCCGCTCCCAGGACCATGGGAATCTTGGGAGCTTCCCAGGCTGCAAAAAGTACACCCTGGGATTACACCCCAGGTAAGACCCGCCCTCCCCCCCCTTTTGGAAGACTTGGAGCGAGTTACAGAGGCCATTTGGGGGAGCTTCCATGGCAGTCTGAGGGAGTGTACACCCTGGGATTAATAGGGTGATACTCCCCAAAGGGCATAATCCTGGAACAGCCAAAATCAAAACCGGGTATCAAAGCTGTCCACCCGGAAACATGCTTCAGAAGAAGGCGGCACCCATTTCCTGTTGGATGATTGTCCCTGGGAAAAAAAAAAGAGATTCGCTTCCCCCATCTTAAATCCCCACAAGAAACCTCCATCCAAAAGGCGTCCTCAGATGCCCAGTGGATTTCCATGGAAAAAAGGCTGCATCCGTTTTTGGTTGGTTGACTTTACAGGAATCGGATCCCTTTCCAAAAACAAACAAGTGGGGAAAAAAAGGAATCGCAACCCACCTGGCAACTGGGATTCTAGAGAACTCCCGGGGCCGAATAGGGATGCGCTGCTGCTTGGCGCAGGGAACGGTTTGTCCCGCCCCCCCATCCTCCTGTCCAAAACATGCAAATACCTGAGTGATTGGTGTTATGTAAATGTTGTACTATATATATATATATTGATTTTATATGCTACCACCCCGCCCCCACACGCCTACAGCCACGAGAACTGCATCTTCATAATCTTGAATCTTGAGAACATGAAGTAAAAGGGACTCAAGATTCAAGATTCCCCAGGCATCTGATTTCCTGTATATACCCTGAACATTGAACCTCATCCGCGTTAAAGTCACTTTGAAGTCACCTATGTGTCTGTCTACCTGGTCCAGAAGTGTCCAAAAGGCCCCCAAAGATATCGGCTATCCGGACAACTTCCTGTGAAGTTGGTGTATCCCCATCGGCGTTTGGTCCACAAACGGGTCCGTGCGGGTAGGCGTCAAAATTGGGAACATTAACAAGATGAGGTTGTCCTTCTGGTTTCCCTTGAAGCCACGCCCTCCCCCCCCCAAAAAAAAAAGAAGGCATCATCATTGGTAGGAAATCCGAGAAAACATCATCTTTCCCACCAAAAACGGGGAAAGCTACCCATGCTCAAAACTGGGGGGCTGAAGGGAACCTTGATCAACCCCCACAGGGCTCCCGACAAAAGCCCCTTAAAACACCACCAGCCACCAAGGGGGACACTCACCTTTCATTGCCAACAAGGCGATGCTCAAAACCAAAGGTTTAAAACCGCCCAAAAGGGAAACATAGGGACTGATGCTCAAAACCACCAAAAAGGGACCTCTGTGGGATTCCCTGTAAACCAGGGGAAAGGGCCTAAAGAACCAGGCGCCTGGGTCTTCCTCAACTGGGCGGCCCGGAACGTGTTCAGCCCCGCGCCATCGGAATGCGGATCTTGCAGGCGAAGCCATAGATCACCCCGGGCCTCGCGCTACGAGGCGGCCCTTTGAGGTTGCCGGAAGGAAGATCGAGGGAAGCTGTCGCATTTGTAGAATATATATATATATATATATATATGGTACCCCCCCCCCCCCCAGGGACCTACCTTTTTGAAGAATTCACTGGTATTTGCAGGGTGGTCTACCCTTTTTTGGGCTTTGGGGAGAGCAATGAAAAAGAAGCATTTCCAAGGACGTTCTGGAAGCTTCAGGCTTGATTTAAACCGATTGAAACCGATTTAATTTAAATCGAGCATGGATTCAAGATTCAAGAATCCAGGCCAAACTTTTGCAGGGAATCTTGAATCCAGGGTCCGATTTAAACCGATTTAAACCGATTTAACTTAAATCGGGCATGGATTCAAGATTCAAGACTCCCTGAAAAATGTTGGCCTGGATTCTTGAATCTTGAATCTTGAATCCATGCCCGGTTTAAGTTAAATCGGTTTAAATCGGTTTAAATCGGACCCTGGATTCAAGATTCCCTGGAAAAGTTTGGCCTGGATTCTTGAATCTTGAATCTTGAATCCATGCCCGATTTAAACTTAAATTTTAAATCGAGACCCAAATTCAACATTGCACTTTGCGCGGCTGTACTTTGGCACAGTGTTGTGCAAGCATCCAAGTCATGATTATTCATTCAATCTGCTTCAATCTAGGCCCACATTCAAGTTTGTAGGCCAAAGCTTTCTAGGGAATTTTGAACCCAGGCTCAACTGAAATTTCAGTTGGCTTCAATGGGTTTCACTCGGGCCTGGACTCGCGTCTGCAAAGAAGACTTGTCTAGAGAATATTGATTCTTGAATGTTGAATACAGGCTTGGGTTCTTTGTCAAATCCTGTTAAAGCTCTAATTGAATTGTAAGTACATATTGGGAAAGGAACTCTATTTAAACTCGAAATTTCAGATTTGATTACCATTAGGATTCTGACCAAATATTTCCGTATTGAGTCCCAATTAAATTGTTCAAATTCAATCGAGCATTTAGCGAGTGTACGTTGGTGGAGATGTGAATTGAGTATGAAAAACACTACACAACGCTGTGTTTTACGGTGATTTCTGACCATGGTAGTGTTAGGACTAATGAAAAGACACAAGTTTTGGACCTTTGGATTCTTTCCTTATGAATTCCACTTAGTATGTTTTATCACATTCGACCCAATTTCTGCTTGAAAATCAATGGAGCTTAAGAAGGACATACTCCAGCCAGAATTTCGATTCAGATTCGAACTTAAGTATTGATTGTTCTATGTCAAGTTAAATGGTACAAACGATTCCTGTCCAATAGAACATTGTACTTGAAATTCAATCACTTTCAGAACTCGAGTTAGATTCTTAGATGGTCTAGTCCTAGTTTGGTCCTACTCCTAGTTGGGAGATCCTTAGTTCTAGGCCTAGTATGGTCCTAGCTTACTGAAATAAATAGAACGTACAAAGGACAATACAAAGTTCCTTATGAATTGTAGTTAATATATTAATCAAGTTCTATGCAACTGCTATCTGAACAGTAGAATAAAATTACAGAACATATCCAATCATAATTTATGGTTATTCTGTTTCAAACCAAATATTAAACATGACTTTCTTTCCACCAGAATGTTGTACTTGACATCCAAATACTATAAGAAGTAGACTTGAATGGTCTAGTCCTAGTTTGGTCCTAGATGAGAGATCCTTGGTTCTAGTGCTAGGTTGCTCCCTAGTTTACTGCAATAATTAGAAAGTATACAGGACATTACAAAGGAAGTTATACTTGAAGTTTATTTTTTTGTAAGAATCTGAGGTGGGTCGTCTAGTCCTAGTTTGGTCCCAGTCCCACTTGAGAGATACTGGGTTCTAGTCTCATTTGGTCCTGGTCCTAGTTGAGAGATCGTTCCTCCCAGTCCTAGATGGGCAAAACATGCACTGGAGAGGCAACCAAAAGGTAGGTCCCTGGGGGGGGGGGGTAGCATATATATATACTTTAGAGCCTCCGGCTCAGTCCGCCGACATTGTCCTCTCCCTTTTCTCCTTCTTCCTCTCTTCCTTGTCTCCCTTGTGTGTTCTGTCGTCCTCTCTCCCTCCCTCTGCTCCCATCCTCCCCATCCCCCCAAGCCTCTCTCTCCCCACTCTCCCTCTCTCGTATGTATGCATGCATGTACATATGTATGTATGTATGTATGTATGTATGTATGTATGTATGTATGTATGTATGTATGTATGTATGTATGTATGTATGTATGTATGTATGTATGTATGTATGTATGTATGTAATGTATGTATGTATGTATGTATGTATGTATGTATGTATGTATGTATGTATGTATGTATGTATGTATGTATGTATGTATGTATGTATGTATGTATGTATGTATGTATGTATGTATGTATGTATGTATGTATGTATGTATGTATGTATGTATGTATGTATGTATGTATGTATGTATGTATGTATGTATGTATGTATGTATGTATGTATGTATGTATGTATGTATGTATGTATGTATGTATGTATGTATGTATGTATGTATGTATGTATGTATGTATGTATGTATGTATGTATGTATGTATGTATGTATGTATGTATGTATGTATGTATGTATGTATGTATGTATGTATGTATGTATGTATGTATGTATGTATGTATGTATGTATGTATGTATGTATGTATGTATGTATGTATGTATGTATGTATGTATGTATGTATGTATGTATGTATGTATGTATGTATGTATGTATGTATGTATGTATGTATGTATGTATGTATGTATGTATGTATGTATGTATGTATGTATGTATGTATGTATGTATGTATGTATGTATGTATGTATGTATGTATGTATGTATGTATGTATGTATGTATGTATGTATGTATGTATGTATGTATGTATGTATGTATGTATGTATGTATGTATGTATGTATGTATGTATGTATGTATGTATGTATGTATGTATGTATGTATGTATGTATGTATGTATGTATGTATGTATGTATGTATGTATGTATGTATGTATGTATGTATGTATGTATGTATGTATGTATGTAATGTATGTATGTATGTATGTATGTATGTATGTATGTATGTATGTATGTATGTATGTATGTATGTATGTATGTATGTATGTATGTATGTATGTATGTATGTATGTATGTATGTATGTATGTATGTATGTATGTATGTATGTATGTATGTATGTATGTATGTATGTATGTATGTATGTATGTATGTATGTATGTATGTAATGTATGTATGTATGTATGTATGTATGTATGTATGTATGTATGTATGTATGTATGTATGTATGTATGTATGTATGTATGTATGTATGTATGTATGTATGTATGTATGTATGTATGTATGTATGTATGTATGTATGTATGTATGTATGTATGTATGTATGTATGTATGTATGTATGTATGTATGTATGTATGTATGTATGTATGTATGTATGTATGTATGTATGTATGTATGTATGTATGTATGTATGTATGTATGTATGTATGTATGTATGTATGTATGTATGTATGTATGTATGTATGTATGTATGTATGTATGTATGTATGTATGTATGTATGTATGTATGTATGTATGTATGTATGTATGTATGTATGTATGTATGTATGTATGTATGTATGTATGTATGTATGTATGTATGTATGTATGTATGTATGTATGTATGTATGTATGTATGTATGTATGTATGTATGTATGTATGTATGTATGTATGTATGTATGTATGTATGTATGTATGTATGTATGTATGTATGTATGTATGTATGTATGTATGTATGTATGTATGTATGTATGTATGTATGTATGTATGTATGTATGTATGTATGTATGTATGTATGTATGTATGTATGTATGTATGTATGTATGTATGTATGTATGTATGTATGTATGTATGTATGTATGTATGTATGTATGTATGTATGTATGTATGTATGTATGTATGTATGTATGTATGTATGTATGTATGTATGTATGTATGTATGTATGTATGTATGTATGTATGTATGTATGTATGTATGTATGTATGTATGTATGTATGTGTATGTATGTATGTATGTATGTATGTATGTATGTATGTATGTATGTATGTATGTATGTATGTATGTATGTATGTATGTATGTATGTATGTATGTATGTATGTATGTATGTATGTATGTATGTATGTATGTATGTATGTATGTATGTATGTATGTATGTATGTATGTATGTATGTATGTATGTATGTATGTATGTATGTATGTATGTATGTATGTATGTATGTATGTATGTATGTATGTATGTATGTATGTATGTATGTATGTATGTATGTATGTATGTATGTATGTATGTATGTATGTATGTATGTATGTATGTATGTATGTATGTATGTATGTATGTATGTATGTATGTATGTATGTATGTATGTATGTATGTATGTATGTAATGTATGTATGTATGTATGTATGTATGTATGTATGTATGTATGTATGTATGTATGTATGTATGTATGTATGTAATGTGTATGTATGTATGTATGTATGTATGTATGTATGTATGTATGTATGTATGTATGTATGTATGTATGTATGTATGTATGTATGTATGTATGTATGTATGTATGTATGTATGTATGTATGTATGTATGTATGTATGTATGTATGTATGTATGTATGTATGTATGTATGTATGTATGTATGTAATGTATGTATGTATGTATGTATGTATGTATGTATGTATGTATGTATGCATGTATGCATGTATGTGATGTAAGTAAGTAAGTGTAAGTAAGTAAGGAAGTAAGTAAGTAAGTAAGTAAGTAAGTAATGTAATAAATGTAATGCATGTAATGTATGTACGTATGTATGTATGTGTGCATGCATGCATGCATGCATGCATGCTTACATACATGTATGCATGCATGTATGTATGTAATGTATGTATGTATGTAATGTCATGTAATGTCATGTAATGTAATGTAATGTACTGTAATGTATGTATGTATGTATGTATGTATCCTTGCACTTCCCCTTTGCTCCCCAGTATTTCCCGCAAAAAAAACACGGTTTTTCCAGCGTTTTCGCAAAGAGGACGTCCAAAAACATTGAGTTTTTCCAGATTTTCGGCAAAAGGATGCAGGAAGCCCAAGCCAGCAAAAAAGCCGGCAGGGGGAATCGAGCCTGGGACCCCTGTTTTGCGACACCGGCTCCCCGAAGACTACGTTTAGTGGAACGTCATCAAATTGCCGCGCGGTACGTGGGGGACCCCCCCCCCCCCAAAAACCTACGTAATAGACGTCGGGCGGGGGGGGGTTAGGGGGGGGGTTATCCTCTATCCTCTAGTAAGTATCCGACACGCCGAGCAATGTCGGCGGATATATGTCTATTTATATATATATATACATATACGTGCATCCATTGATCTATTAATTTAGCTAGTTATTTAATTTACTTGTCCATTTCTTTCGGGGGGGAGTCAAGATCAGGGCACGTTTTTGGCCCATAAGGCGGAACCGCGGGTGGCACCCCGACCCCCTGTTGGCCTGCTTGGGAACTCGAAACCGTCGGCCCATCGAACTTGAAAAGGCGGAAAACGGGGTGGCAAAAAAAGGTACTGGACAAGGCGGCGCCCCCTCCCTGCGACCACGGAACCCATGTTCTCAGATACGCATCAGATCACCAGTTGGCGACTGCCTCTGACAACGGAACCCACGCTCTCAGACACACGCATCTGATTTGGTTCCAAAAGTGTGGCCAGCTCTGCATCTGAAAACGACCCCACGCGATGCCAATGCCAACTATCCCGTGGCGACCGAAGTGTCTACGGTCCACGCGTCCAGGCAAGCTGCATGTAGTCCTGGCAAGCCAGTCTCGAATTGGGGGGGGGGGGGGGATCGGCTCGTGCTTGTGGCAGCTGGAATGAACAGCTCCTCTGCAACCCAATGTCGAGACACGCACGTCAAATAGATTCCATTGGATGAGACACCCTCACCAAACAAGTGTCCCTCGCACTGCTCCCCTGTTGGCCAAGGGCGCGCCAAGTCAAATTGCAGGCTGGGAAATCGTCAAAGTTTGGGGGGCTCACCAAAGGACTGCTTGTTTCCCCTCTGAAAGGAGTGCCTTTGAAGAGAGCCCTAGCATATGAGGCTGTAGAAGAACACACACACACACACACACACACACACACACACACACGCTCAGATCGCACCAAACACATGGCTTCCAACTTGCCAGCGAGACCATGGTCAACACCTGAGGTCAAGGCGTTGGAAAGTAAGGTGTTCAAAACACCTGGATGGACGAATTTGCTTTTGAAGGGTGAGAAAAATGAGCCGCGGCCGGATCATCGCACGGCGAGACTAGCCGAATTGGGTGATGCAATCTCAAGGAAGGGTTCCCCTGGTTGAGACCAGCGGCCGCGCAGTGCGTGGCACATGAGATTGTCGTGCCCAGCGCTCTCGAAATCTGAGATGCGCACGTTTTTCGGCTCTGAGTTCGGTCGAGCTGGCTTGCCGGCAATGGGGATGTCTGCCTCAAGGTGCACATGAGATCCGGATTGGACAGAATCCAAGCAAAATCTACACAATAGGTGGACATTCGTAATGTCCACCCATTGTGTAGATTTTGAGGGAATTGTCCTGCCTCAAACGCATTTCAAAGTTGATTTCACGCAGAGCTGGAAATAATGTGTATTGTAGGGCATACACCGCCTTTGACGGAAGATTGCGTGCGCATGAACCCTCTTTCAAACATGGGCATCCGCAAGAATACTCCGACGCCTTGGAGAAACCCTGATGGGCGAGCGGTGGAGGCCACCGTTTTTGGGGGTCCCGAACAAAGAGACACACCCTTGAGGGCCCCAGAAACGAAGCCGGCTCTGCCAAGTCCCAAGTTGTGCAGGCGTTTGCAGGCTTTACCACATCCCCTTTGAGCAGAGCCCAACAACCGTTCACTTTTGGCTCTATCAAAATGGCTTGGAGGACTTGCTATGACCATAAGGAATCGAATCACCTGCAAGAATACAACTCTTTCGGAGGTGTTGGCCGACATGATCTCTCTCCCAGCGGCTGTCCAGGCAGGCAGCTCCCGAAGGTTGCCCTTCCAACTTACCCATCCTTGAGCAAAAAGTCCTCTTCAAATCGAAACAGGAGGGTCCAGGCTTCAATCCGTCAACACTGGGAATGCCTCTCAAGCGTTCCCTTTGAACCCCAGAATGTGACGGAAGGGTCAATCTGTTGGGGCCACAAAAAAACCGCAAATGGCAAGGCTTGGGCTGAAAATGGGGGCATCCCATGTCCGGTTGACATGTTGCCTTTGACTTCCCTGCCCCAAGAACTGGGCGGTTCAAGATAGAGGCGGCCAATCCCAATGCTTAATCCCTGATGGAAAACCACTACAAAGCGGACCAAATCCTTACATAACCCAAAACCAGGATTCCGGATTGCCTTTGACGTGCTGGTGCTGAGCAGAGAATGAGGGAATTGCCCCTATAAACAATCCCCTATGGTTTCCTTTCAGGGAATCCCCAAAACCGGTTCATTCCCAAAACCCGGCCTCGGCCATTCCCTCCACCAAGTTGAACGTTGCCCAGAAGAAAACGTGGGGGCTCCAAAAAAAATGACACGCCGAACGACATCTGGCTGCGGCTCACATGGACCAAAACCTGCGTAACCCCTCCTGTTCAATTTTTTGAGCCACACCCATCTCTCATCTCTCTCCGTTTCCGCGCCTCGGCGCCCTCCACCACGTTCAACGGGTTCACCCCCACGCCGGGGGCCTGGTACCTGACGCTCGCGGAACACGACGCAAGGCGCTCGCCCCGTCCCGCGCCGATTTGGACGAGTGGAGCTCTTCTATCGGATGGAAGCCCAACAGGTTCAGGGTCGCCCAACAGGAGGTTCCTCGAGCAATCGTGGCTTTTGGGGGTCCAGGAAAAAGTGGCTCGCTGCTTCGGCCCTGCCAGCTGGCCGACTCACGTGGCCAAGGGGTTTTGAGTTTGGGGAGCTCAAGTTGTTCTTTTGGTGAACCAGAAGTGCCGGGCGTGCAGATCTGTAAATCCGAACCCCCAGCGAAACGACACATGCCTGGCCCAGCAAAACAGACTAAGCTTTCAGAAAAATGTCGCTTGGCAGGCACCTTAGCATGCCAAAGTTCCTGAGTGGAGACCTAGGCCCATCGCGACTCTTGAAAGACACCTTGACACCGGGCTGTCCTCAGATCCCCTGCTAAACTAGTGGGTTAGATTCGATTCGGACCCCCCCCCTTCCACTGAACCCACGAACAGGCGGAAAAAAAAAAAAAAAACAGCTGAACTGGATGGCTGGTATTGTTCCCAAGGAAGACGCCTTGCCCGTAGCTGCAGAACTGCCGCGCCCGCCTGAAATCCACCTGTTCGAAGTCCCACTCGTAGCCCGCAGGGGCGGTCACTCGTATCGCCTCACCGCACCGCTGAGAGGTCGCGGTCGCATCCCTTTCCAGGCAAAAGCACGGTTTGTGTTGCTTTTTTGGTGGTGTTTTGGACTTATCTTGCTTTCTGCTTCTTCTTTTTTGAAGGGGAACGCCCTCTGCCAAAGGTTTGGTGACATACACCTCATTGCTCAAGTAATGTCCACGGTCTTCCATGTCTGGAGAATCTGACCCCGCCTTTGGCCGACCCCCCTACGGACTGATCGGCCAAATGGAAAGCACCGCGCTGCGAAAAGAAAAGCCCCCGCCCCCAAGGCGTTCGCGACACAAGGGCTCCATGACTGGCCAAAACTGGAAGCCCAAAAACTGGGCCCCAAGACTAAACCAGGGAACCGTTCAAGTCTTCGTCCTCGGCATTTCCCACCTTCACTTCCCAGGGTTCCAGGGTCGCTTGCTTCAAAAAAAAGCCGCGAGAGCACAGCTGCCTTGGTGGTGGGGAAGGAGGCGATGATCGGCAGCACGGTGATGTCTGCTGGGGGAACCTGCCGGCCAAGCCGAAAAACATCAGGAGGCACATCCGACTTGCGCTCTTTCTGCGAATCTGGAGCAGGCGATCAGGGTGTTTCTTCACAACCCTCGGTATGGGCTGGCAAAAAACAGTTTTTTGCAGCCCCCTACTAAACATGAACAGAACAAGAACAAACAAAAGGCTTACCAAGAACAATGAAGATTGGGCATGCGTGCTGTTGCTGTTTTGGTCTTGCTTGTTTCGTCCGCGGGACGTTCTTTGATTCTTAGTTCCTGCTGTATGCTTCAAGGTGGCCCGTTCCACAGAGATCGCCCAAATGCTTTGGGCATCATGTACATGCAGTTTTGTTTTGCTGTAGCTCAAATACTTGGACCAAAATGACACCTTGGTCAATGGACCAAAATGACACCCTAGCTCTTCGATTTTGAGCAGCACCCATTTCTGATCCGCCAGCCATCTTTGAAACTTCCCCCATGGAGTTGAGCCCTGCAGGTTCTCCGACGGATCTCCGTAAGATCCCTTTTCAGCATGGCCTCTCCCGTGAGGTTTTTGGTCTATGCCCGTCCGAGTCAAGAGTGGAAGCATTTCATTCCCGGGCCGCCCTCAGGTCCCCCGCTAAAAGTTTTTGACTACGGAAACTACCGCTAAACACTGAAAAGCTAAAAGGCTAAGGGGGTGGCTGGGAGCCACCAAGATTTGTGATTTCCCAAAAAGTTAAAGTCTAAAGATCCAACCCAATAGCAGTCGAGGTCTCAACGTCTGTGCCCGTC